ATAATGAAACTGCAGCAAAATAGTAAAATTGCAAAGCAACTTTGTTTTAATAATGACAGATGCTTCTTAAACACTTCAATTATGTCTCTCGGAGCAGTTTTAGCTAGGCCACAAAAAAGGAGAGCAGTATTGCTGAAGGACTGGGGGTACAACCCATTCCCTCTCCTCAGCTTGAAGTTTCCTCCAAACCAAAACTTTTCTCCTTTGCTCAAGTGCTTTTCTGGTTGAAGGAGCGCTCCTTTGGGGTCCTGAGAGAGGACAGATGGGTCTTCCCAGGGAGGTGACCCCCAAGAGAAGGGATGCTGTGGGCTGCAGGCAGTGGGATCCCAGACACCAGCCTGGCCATGGCTGGGGGGAACCCTGGCACCCCCAGCCCCTCTGCTCACTGGGGAGCACAGGGGGCTGCCACCGACTCTAAAAATGGTGCAAATCTCCATGGTTAATGATACCCACAATAATGACAGCGTGAGCAGCAGCCTAAACTTCTCTGAGCAAAATTCTCTGTCAAAGCACGGCAGACCCTTTGCTGTGAAGAGGCAGTGAATGGTGCGTCCAACAAAGCACAGGGAGAAAGATAAACACATTAATGGAGAAAAAGCCATAATGTGAATAAACAGCATGCGTGTAGAAAATGGAAAGAAATGGTGGGCAGCAGGGGAGGATGGAAATAAACTAACTAGTGCTGAAGGGTAAAAAGCCCTAAAAGGATGGGATGGTGCCTGATGTGCCTGAAATCTCCCTGCTGCACACCTTCAGGCTTTTCTGCAGTGATCCATCTCAGCCCACACTCTGCCTCTGCCCCCTCGCTCCCTGTAATGACCCCCTTCCCCTGCTGCTGGAGGTCGTGTTCTGGTCCCGCCTGCTCCCCTTTAATGCCCACAGAAAGAAGCCCCTGGTCTCCTTTCAGCCGGCACTGTGTGTCTTCGGGGTTGTGAGGTATTAGCTGTATCACAGTCAATTTGCTAATCTACAAAAACCATTTCAAGGCACATTATATCCAGAGCCCATATGTTGCTTCAGCGCTGCCAAAAGAGTTCTTGTTTACTCGGATCAGGCTTTCAGTCGGTGTTTGGTGTGTACTAAATAGCACCATTGATACTACTTAAAATAAAAGGTGTCAGCCCCTTGTCTGCCCCAGAAAATTGCTCAGCACTTTCGGCTCTGACAGTGTCCCTGTCACTAACACCTCCCTCTCAGTCGCCCTGGCTGTGGGGCCTGATTCTGCTCCTTTCCTGACCCATCCCCAGGGCTCTCTCGCAGCTGTGGACACAGCTTTTGGTTTTCCTCTGCATTTCCAGACATTAAAAGTATTAAAATAAATAAAAAAGCGCAACACCCCTTCCCCAACCTAAGAACAACCTTGCTAAGGCTGCTCTTGCCTGGCCACCCCCTGCGGTGCCAGAGAACCCCTGTCCCCAGGGAGAGGGGAGCACACAAGGATGGTCTTTACGAGATCCTGAAGGGCTCTGGGTGCTGGAAGGGCAAGAGCTTTTCCACGTGGGAAGTGATTTTATTCTGTGCAGTCAGAGCTCCCCGTTTCCATGGCTGTTACTGGCCCGTACGTTAGTGATGCCCACCCGGTTCCGCTGACACCCAGTGACCACGCTTGGTCTGTCAAACCCCACGGGGCATGAGGGAAGGAGCTGGGTTTCCTGCTGCCTCCTTCTTGGTTTCCATTACAGAAATGGCAATATTTTGCTTATGAAAATGTTTGTGTTCGAACTTTCCTGAGCCCTTCCTGAGTGACAAAGGTTTGGTTTGAAGGAGGAGGAAGGAGCTGGTGTCCAAACTTGCCTGAGCCCTTCCTGAGCGACAAAGGTTTGAAGGAGGAGGAAGGAGCTGGTGTCCCTCGTTGCTGGCCGGGAGGAGTCGTGGCCGTTCTGGTGGGCTGTTCCCCGGGAGCAGGCACAGGGATGTGTCAGAGCTCTGACACCCGGGGTCAGGAAACCACCTGCTCACAGATGTGCAATTACCGCTTTCAAATGGGATTTTTGCTGAAAAAAAAATGCAGGTTAAAAATTGTTCTCTCTGCTGAACTGAAAATCTGAAGTGTCTAAGGGTGCCTGGATGGAAGAGGGAGGCAGGAGGTTGGGCAGAGATGCCTCTCACCATTTCCCAATTTTCTCCCTCTTTTGCCCAGAGGGACTAATTGGTGCTCAGAGGGAACCAATCTCCTCCTTTATGAGTGAAATCTGCTATCTGATTAATTATTCATTTGTAGCATGATTGGCAGCTTTGAGGTGGTGGGTCCAGAGGCAGTAGGGGGTGATCCATTGACTGACAAGGTTAATTGCTGCCTTGCGTGGTTGGTGATAACGATTTATGTTGACAATTCCTGGGGTTTCCAGCGCAGACGGGGGGTTGTGGCGCGGGGTCGGGCAGCGCTGCCCCATCCTGCCCCGTGCTCTCCTGGCAGATGGGAGCAGCCCTTCCCTCGCTGCCACCCTTGGCACGTGGGCAGGGGTGTCATCCCCAGCAGCTGGTCTCTCGTGCTATAAGCGAGGAAGAAGCAGCTTTGCAAAGGCAGCCCTTGCTTTTACCTTCTTTTCCCATTCTTCCTTCTGACACATTCTCTGCATATTGATCAGGGTTCAGAACATAACAGTGAGACTCGGCTCCGCTCTGAAAGTCCCTCCTTGGCAGCGGCGTCAAAGCTGCAGTTTTCCAGGGGGGCGAGTGAATAGAGATGAGAAAGATTTATGAGGGTGACCCTTCAAAATAATAAAAATGGGAAGGAATTGTCTTTTAAATCTCAGCGTATAGGAAACGGCAACTTCTGGGGATTGTTTAATAAATGCACGACCGCAGCGTCTGAAATGCCACCTTTCCACCCAAAACATGGTTCCAAGGCAGTGCCCGTCTCTTGCAGTGAAGGAGAGGAGGGCTTTGGGGGCCAAAGCTTGCTGGGCTAACTGTCCCCAGGGCTGGGCTAGCTGTCCCCGGGGCCGTGCCTCTGCTTTTAGAGTGAGTTTTATTCTAACCTCAAACAGCACAGCTCAGGTCACTCTCATCGTTCCCATCCTGGAAACCACAGACATTTTTTCCTGGCCTCAATGTAATAAAGCAGAGTCATAAAGATTTCAGACTAATAAACATTGGCCTTTAGGGTGCTTTCAGCTTTTATCAGGCTAATAAGATTTTTGACTTACATGGAAAGGGAAAGCGGGTAAACAGAGCTTTTATGAACCCTGGAGCCCGCTGGGGACCGCGGTCCTGCCGAGGCTCTGGGGCTCGGGCACCTTTTCATAATGAAAAGCAGAGGTGGCCCTGGGCAAACCACGCGGGGAGAGCGTTCCTGCAGAAGGCTCTTCCTGGAGTTCCTGGGCTTCATTATTTGTCTGGTACCAGACTTCCCACAGGTGCTGGGGGCAGGGGGGGTTACACCATCTGAGCCTTATCTGCCTTACCCCGCCCCCGGTCGAAGGTGAAGCAAATGGGGCTGTTTCCTTCCTCCCGCCCATCATCACCAATCCCAAACCCACAGGGGTCCCCTCTGGCAGCAGCACCCACAGCTCTTCTCCTCACAGCTTTGGGTTCGGTTGTGAACTGATTTTTTATCATTGGCTTTTTATGGCTGATTATAGGAGGGATGGTGGATGTCGCTCAACAGCTTGTTCTTCAGGATAACATTTCAACAGGGAAGAAGGGAGTTGCTCAGCATAAACAGGCATAAATGTCATTGTTTTCTAGAAATTATTTTTATTTAAAATTTAAAACCATATTACTTCATACAGCAAACTGTGCACTTTGATATATCACAGTGTCTTAAAAAGGAAAATAATCAGAATTTTTTCTTTTTTTTTTTTTTTGGAAATTTTATTTACATCAGCCTAGAATGATCAGCAAGTAACACAGTTACTATGAAACCAAAATTGTTACAAAATGTTTACAAAAAACTATATTCATAGAAATTCTGCATGTCCACAAAGGAAAAATCCCCTGAATGTCATGGAGACCATTTTTTCCTTTATTTCCCCTCTTTCCTGTTTTTTTTTTTTTTTTCTTTTTCTTCTTTTTGTCCTTTTTTTTGAGAAACATGTCAAAATAAGGTACAGAGAGCAGAGGGCTCGTGACGCCGATGCCCAGCCCTGGTGGTGCACGGTTTGGGGGGGTGTGGGGCTCAGGCTGGTGACCACTGGGTGACAACTGCCAGCGTCTGCGGGGTCCCTTTGCGGTGACATTCCCAGAGACCCCTCGGCCAAATCCTGCTCTGCAGAAGCGCCTGCCGAGGGGAGGGCGGTGGGTGCTGGAGCTGGTTCCCCTCTGTCTCTTCCATCTCTTTGTGGATCCGTCGCTGCCGTCGCACCCAACGCGCCGCTGGGTAACTCTGGACAGAAAAGCAGCCCCCACCCCAAAGCCACCCGCTGTGCCCCTGCTCTGTCTCACAGGGGAGCTGGAAGGAAAAAGCAAGTGATAAAGGGACAGTGAACTGAGGTGGCAACAGTTTAGATACAGTTTAATAGCCCAGACCTGTTCTTTCTTTATTTTCTCCTCACGTTTTCAGTCCTTCTGCCCGCCGAGAGAAGAAAGGAACTGGTTTGAACCAGGTTGGAAGCCGGGTGGTTTCTCAGACGTGAGTGGCCGATGGTCACAAGCAGGTCCCCAAACAGCTCGCAGAAGGCTGTGAGGCTGCGTCTCCAGCTCTGCCCCTCTGGAGTCTCCCAGCATATTCCTGCCAAGTGTTGGGCTCCTTCTCCTCCTCTGCCAGAAACACCCACGGCTTATGGGCTCCTGTGCTGCCGGCCCCACGGTGAGGAGCACCTGGGGACTGATGGAGAGACCCCCGTCTGTGCTGAGCGGTGCAGCAGCTGAGCTGCCCCTGGTCCCGTTGGAGCTGCCCCTCATCCCGTTGGCAGCTGTGCTGCCCCTCGTCCTGCTGGAGCTGCCCCTCGTCCTGCTGGAGCTGCCCCTCGTCCTGCTGGAGCTGCTCCTTGTCCTGCTGGAGTTGCCCTGGGGGCAGGGGGAGGGCTGGGGGCTGGGACCCCCAGTTGATGAGGGGCAGGGAGAGGGCTGGGGGCTGGGACCCCCAGTTGATGGAAGCAGGATGCTGGTGGGGAGCAGGGAGACAGTGGCTCCCCCAGCCCCTGCCTCGGTTTGAGCGGTGCAGAAACACTTCCTTGCTCTTACACCTCAAAAGTTTTAACAGTTGGGAACCAAACACGGGCCGTGGTGTAGGTGCACGGAGGTCGCTGCTGTCTCAGGGCTGGTTTCTGGGGACGTGGGGAGGGCAGGGAGGGCTCTGTCTGCAGGTTCGGTGGGGCTGGCAGAGAGCACCCTCCTTCTGGACACTCCCCTGTCACTCTGGGGTGTTTGTGAGTAAAATCAAAGCGGTGTCAAAGATAAATAAATGGGGGTTATGGTATTAGTAATATTTATTTATTTGTTTTCTAGAAATCTGTCAAGAAGAAAAATGAATGCTATTTTCTGTGGTATTTTACTCTCTGGATGTTTAAAGCCAGTTTCAGGCTTTGTTTTTATCTCTGCCTTAATTGTAAAAAGCTTTTTCTAAGAGCTTAAAAATCAGCAAGGAAAACAAAATCCACTACTCTGAGACGCCTACGGGTTTGCAGAGAGCTGCAGGATGTCAGCAGCTTTGGGAAGCAGACCCATAACTTCCCATCTATGCTCTGCTGTAGGTGTTTGAGCAGCAAACTGTTAAGAATATGATGCCTGTTGAGTTGGCAGCTTTCACCTCAAATTTTTCATGGTGTCTATGAAAAGGTGAAAATTAACGTAAATTCTTTGCATATCTTCACTTGAGTCAATATATGACAAATTACCTATTTTTTTTTTTTTTGCTTTGGGTCACTGTGATGGTTCTTTACATCATGGAAAAAAACAAAATAAGGACAAATTCTGTTCTGTGGTGGGAGGGGGGAACAGCTCTCTCCCCTTGAGCTAATTTGCTAATTGTGATGAGCTCTACAGACAGCCTTCCTAACTGAGCCTGGGACAGAAACAGGTGGGGAAAAAAAAGCTGAAATCAGCTACAAACAGGTTTGTTCCTTTGGGCGAGGACAAACTCTCCAGAAAGGCCTTGCAGCGTGGGGAGGGCAATCGGGGTCAGTTCTGCTGCTGGTTCCTTGGGGGATGTGGGACCTCGCTGTGCTCAGGACACGGAGGGGGTTTGGGGGTGCAGAGCTCCAGCACGGGCTGCTCCATCCCTGCCCTCCCTCCGGAGCGGGATTTGGGGGTGGGTGCCGGAGGGGTTTCCAGCAGAGCGCGGTCTGCAGCAGGTCACCGTCACCCTCACGTCTGCGAGGGGAGGAGGTTGCTCTTTCCTTCAATGACAGTGTTTAAATCACAGCTTTTAAGCACCTTTGCAACACTCTCCTCATGGTGTTCTGGGTTCCAATGGGCAGAGCTGTTTCTGTGTGTTTCATTTTGCAAATTAATCAGCAGAGTGTCCCACTGCCCCCCCCCGGCGCTTCCCCTGGAGGGATGGAGCTGGGTGATGTTGCTTGGGTGTTACTTTAGGTCAGCAGAGGGGTCTTTGGTAATTCTGGCTAAATTCATCTGCAGGACCAGGCTTGTGGGTTAAGCAACCTGAAAATAAGAACACAGTTCATGGAAGATTTCTTAAAAACACTACATTTAGTCTGTGTTTGCTTGAATCAGGTGGAGATGCTGGGGTTCACCGGGCAGAGAGGGGGGGTCAGGCTTGGCTCACACGGCGCTGCTTGTCCCGGGCCAGCCCTGGCCCTGCCGGCTCAGACTTTGTCTGTGGGGTCTCTGACGCCGTGGAGAGCGTTGGACCAGACACAGGGTCCTCTCCTGGGCTGAGCGTGGCCGCAGCGGAGCTGAATTTCAGGGAAATTGGTACCGTTTGGCTCTAGGAAACGGCTCTGTTCCTGTTTGCTGCCTGTGGGATCGGCCATTTCCCGTGGGATTGGGTGCTTCCCGTGCATCTTTGCAGGAGAGATGGAGTTTTGTGGGAAGAGTGAAGGAGCTGAGACCTGGAGATGGTGGTGTCACCCTCAGGCTGGACTTGGTGGAGGTGTCACCCGGAGGCGGCAGTAGCTCCCACACACTGTCCCATCCCTGGCCAGGAGCTCGACTCCCTTCAGGCCAACTCGCCCCTTCGCAGCCAGCTCTCCTGGACCTCCTGGTGAAGATGTGCGTGGTCTTCTCCCTCCTCACCCTCAGGGACCTCTAGCTGTGGGTGGCCACGGCCAGCACAGCCCGAGGTGAAGGGGCTGCTGTGAGATGCTTTGAGAGAAGGCGCAGCTTTGACCATCGTGGTGCTTCCCAGATGCCTCTCCCTTCCCGGACACGGTGTGGGAGCTGTGCTGTGTGTGTCGGTGGGACAGACGCTCGGCTGCACCTCAGACTGTTCCATTTATTGCCATGATGGAGGAGCCTCGTGTGGGGGCTCCTCCGTACCCGCCGGGGGTCGGTTTGGCTCAATTCTGTTTCGCCTCCGTGTGTTGTCAGTATGTAAACATCAGACTCCTGGATGGTGGTGTGTTTGGACTCCATGAGGCCTGTAGGATCTAAGTGTTAAAAAAAAAAAAAAGGGAACGAAAAATAACAAAAACAAAACAGAAAAGCCCCAAGACCCATGTTACAGTCCGTGCTTTGAAGTTCTTGCTTCCGTGCCGGTGATGGATGCAGCTGTGTTGTAAAGGCCTTGTTCTTGAAATGAACCAAACCAGGCTTTTTTTTTTTTTTTTTCTATTTTTTTTTCTTGTTTTTTAATCCTTTCTTCCCTAGTTAAGAGTGCATCCAGCCTCGTCTGCTGCAGTTCCTTCCCTCCCGCCCCCCCCCGTTCCCGTTCCCTAGGGAAACACGGGTGTCAGCCCGGTGTTGCAGCTCATGTTGTCCTTCCCCGGCAGCCGTCGGTCGTTGAAGGTGTGCATGTTGATCACGGCGTCCGTCTTCACCATGACGGGTGGCTGGGGCTTGTGCTTCACCCGGCGCTGGCAGGTGAGGGACAGCCGGATCTCGTCGGCCACGGCGCTGCAGAAGGAGCGCTGGGGACAGCGGGGACAAAAAAGGCAGAGTTACTGGGGGCAAAGAGCCCTGCTCCCCTCTGCAGGGTGGGAGGGGGCTCGGATCGGGCTCTGAGGGGGCAAGAACCAGGGCTGGGCTGCATTTCACAGAATCACAGAAACTTAGTGGTTGGAAGGGACCTCTGAGTACAAAACACACGCCCACCAGAAACACCACACCCACCAACTAAACCCCACACTCAACACCTCACCATAAACCAATAACCTTGGGCACTAGAGCAGGCCCTGAAGAGCCATGTCTATACGTTTCTTAAATCCCTCCAGGGATGGTGACTCCACCACCTCCCTGGGCAGGCTGTTCCAGTGCCTGACCACTCTCTCAGTAAAGTAGTTCTTTCTAATATCTAATCTAAACCTCCCCTGCCGCAACTTCAGACCATTTCCTCTGGTCTTTAAGGCATCGATTTAAGGCATCGGCTGCACTTAGTGGGACTTTGGTGACACACAGACATCTGGTGGACCCCTCTCTCCTTTGGCAAGGGCTGTGCCTTTGACAAAATCCCACAAAGGAGCAGAGCTACAGGTGGCTGCCCGAGTGCTGGGGCTTTGGGTCACTCCTGCTGGGGGGCTGGGAGGTCTTTGTGCTGGGAAACAGAGGGCTATTGAGTCCTGCTGGGCTGGCTAGTGGGCAGGTTTCCTTCATCTATCTACTCCATCACGTGGCAGCGTGCTGTGATTTCTGCACGTCCCACTGCCTGCAGCACAGCACGCGGGAAGAGGGCAAAACATGGAAACAGTTCTCTTGTTCCATGAGCACTGATCGGGCACCGCAGGTGGGATGGGCTGGTTGTGTCAGTGTTGTGAAAAGTTGATAAAATAGTATGAGGCTTCCTGGTGGACCCTGACAAGTTTCTGGCAAGTTTCTTGAGGCCCTTTGAACAGGAGCAGGGAGGAGAGATGGAGACTTCATGGTGTTACACCTGGAATGTGCAACACGATGGCCCATGATGGTGCTGAGAGGATGTAACAGCTCAGAAAGGTCCCTTCCCAGGGACCTATGTCCGTAATTTTATGACTTATGTGTTGGCTTGCTCAAAATTACCCTCCAAATGTTTACTGGTCTAATTATTGCAGACCCTGCTCAGAGCAGACCTGATTTACCCCCTCCCCTGAGGCTGTCGGAGCGGGACGGACACAACGAGCCTTAGGGAAGGGTGTTTTGGGGGTGCTGCATTCCAGCCCTCGGACCTCCAGGCAGTGGGGGCCGGGCTGAGTGCCCCTCTCCCTGCCTGTCTCTGGGGCCAGTGGGCAAAATCCTTAGCGGTGGGGCTGGTGGTGGTGCAGGGAGACGGAGGAAATCAGTACCTGCTCGCGCTCCGCCGTTTTGCGCAGCTTGTAGATGAACTCCACCATGGCCACGAAGACGGACAGCACCAAGCCTGCTGCCAACACGATGAAAATCCCACCGATGTTTTGGATGCCCAGGGCACTGGCCTCTTTGTTCTCATCCTCGGGGCAGCCGTTCCCTCGCCACCACTTCTCCTTCATCACGTGGAGCTTGTCCTCCTCCTGGAGCTGGAGGATGGCGATGGTGATCTTGTCCCTGTACGGGGACCCTGGGGAGGGGGAGCACCGTCACACACAGAGGGAAAGCGAAAAGTCACACCAAGCAGGGAACGTATCTGCACTGACCAGGGCTCTTCAACAGGCAGAGAGTGTGAGCTTTGGTCCTGGGAAACTCGCTGGTGGGAGAGGGCCATCTTAATCCCATCTGTTGTATTTGTGGTAACAGCCCCCCTCCAGGGCTACCGATGGAGACCCCCCCATGCCACTTACCCATGGGAGTGCCGATCCCGTAGCCTTTGGAGTCGATGAGTCCCCCGATCTGCGTGAGGTTGCAGTTCCTCTGGGTGATGTATTCGATGGTGGTTGACTCCATCAGCAGAGCGTAGTCGGCCGTGAGCGTTCGCTGGATTCCTTCCTCGTTGTTTTTAACAAGTGCCGTGGGTTTGCTGCTCATGAAAGCCCACATTTTTTCAAACGTGGAGATTTTGGATTTCTGGAAAAATGATCCCCCCATCCCCAAAACAAGAATTAGTCATCTTTTTGCTGAAACCGTGTGTCTTCCCAGTAAATGATAATGACAGTTTGAGAACAGATCACATAATGGAACTATTGCCAATTTGTCCTTGTCTTAAACATCTCTCTACTTTTCCTGCCCAACACTGTTTGGCTTCGCCTTGCTGTGACAGGAGACACAGGTTCCAGCACACGTTGTGCAGAGATTCAGCATAAAGTCACTGCCCCAAAGCCCTTGTCCCATGGGTGGAACCGAATTGTTCCTTCCCTTCCCTAAGGTAGAGCCAGACCCTGCCTTGACGCGCCGCGGAGCTCGCTGGTGTGACAGGCCATCGGTGTGGCTGCTTACAGGGATTAGGTTCTGAACCAGAATTTTGTTTATCCTGTAATATTTCTGCACAATGAGAGAATACAGAGAACATTTCAGGGGACATGTTTTTCTCTTTTGCACACACTCTATTATATTTTTGTCTTTCCTCAAGCATCACAAGGAAACATGTCTCCTCTGAGATATGTGCAACTGCCAAACAAGTTTAACGTATCCACGTAAACAGAGGCATAGAAATATTCAAGAAGATTGTCTTACGGCTAAAAATAAACATGGATATTCTTTCACTACAACAGACATTCTGATAAAAAAAGGAGGAATATGTTTTCTAGCTTACTAGTCACATTCATGTCTTTTTCTTCTTCTAGAAAATGTGTTGGGTGAGTAGAAACATGGTTATTTTGTGTCTTTCCATAACATTTGAAATATACCATTTCTCTAGGACCACCTTCTGAATTGTCTCTGTGTAGGTTGTCACAAAAGACATAACCAGCTTCACTCTGGGAGGACACCCCAGGAGAGGGCACATCAGTGTTCCCTGTACCCCGTCACTGGTCACTACATTCCCTGTACCCCATTACTGATCACTGCGTTCCCTGTACCCTCATCACCTGTGTCCCTGTGGGTGACCGTAGCTCTCCTCAGCCCCGCTCTGTACATCCAGCTGGGCTCTGGAAAGGCTCTTGGATATTAAGGCTTATTGCTGCCTGCTCCTTTATGGGCCATTTTTCTCTTCTGCCTAATTTCTTGTTTTCCCTAGATCTCTTTTTGCCTTCTTGCTCTGGAAGAGGCGGCTTAGTCAGCCAAAACCTCCTCCTCCACAGCCCTCCTTAGCAAGAGCCTGAAGCTGGCTGATAAGTTGGAGGGGCTGATAACTCTTTGTGCCCTGAATCAAGGCAACTGCTCACCTGCAGCTGCACGAGGAGTTGCTGCGGCAGAAGCTGCACTTTCTGGTTGAGCTGCCATTTATCTCCGTTTCAGGGCTCTGTCCTTCCATAAGAAAGCAGGAGATGGAGCCCCAGCCCATCCCAACTCCTGCTGTCACATCTCCCCCTCACTTTTCAACATCACCCCAAACATGCCAGCATCGGTACTCCTCATAAAACCAACCACTATAAATAAGGGTAAATTAGCTAAGAAAAAAAAGTCCTTCAGAATGCATTATATTTCAAATGCTTTGCCTGGCCAGCTCCTTTAGTCAGTGCATTTAACAGAAGTTGCCATGTGGTTTAACACCCTGAAGCTGGGGAGTAGAGCACGGTGACAAGGGCTGTTCCTCTGCCTTTAACCCCGTGGGCTCATTCTCCTGCCTGAAATCACCGCAGAGTCATTTCTTCTCAGTTAAAGCTCGTGCTTGTTATAATCCACTTGATGAACGTGCAGTAGTGGCTGCGCCGCAGCAAACTCCATTCAAGAGGCAGGATAATCTCCCTCACTTGAAAATCTGGGCCAATGCCTGTAAGGTAGATTTGTGGCACCTATCAAACCTCAAAGAGCAGCAAGAAATGTAGCCTCCAAAAGGATTATTAAATATCTGTGCATTACAATGGGTAATTGAAATGAATAGCATACTCGGCTGGCTGATAACGACTTGTTTAACATTTATATAGTTCACATCAGAGGCCTCTGGGTTCACTGCCTCTCCCTTTCTCTCCTTCTCTTCCTGCATTTAATGCTCCTTGGGTGTTGACACAGGGCGCTTAAACAACATCAGTGTTCTCCCAGTTTAAAGCATAGAGCAAAATAAACTGGCAAAAAATCAATAGGCTGCATTTAGTGAAGCTAATAGGACTTGCATGAGGTATTGTAGCTCTTCAGGCAACTTAAATTACATGAGACAGGGTTCCCTGGAAGAGAAAAAACACTTTTCTCTTCTCTTCTTAAATCACCGCTTCTGACCAGCTGAAAGGACTTAATTGTGTTTTGAAATGCCAGGAGCCCAGTTTCCTTGGCTCCTGCTAAAGAAACAGCCAAACCAGAGCCCCGGCGATGAGCCCCTCCGCAGGGAAGGGCTGTCTCCCCACAGGGACACCCCACCGGTGCCGTGGCCTCCAAAGACAGGGCTGTGGTAGCCCAAGCTCTTGGCGCAGGGAGGGTGCTCCACACGTCTCTGCTGGAGGCGTTCTCCAGCTCTCCCCACAGCCTAAAACCTGCCACCTCCTCGCTGGGAATTTATTTGCTGTTAGTTCCTTTAACTTGGCTAAAGTGAGATAAGAACGCTCCTTTTCCAAGTGAAAATTCCTCAGCTGTAATTCTCAGCAGCGGTTTGATAGACCGGGCTGTTGGTTAAAAGTCCAATTTAGGAGGGATTGTCGGTCGGGGTGGGAGCAGTCAGCAATCAGCAACTGCAGAGCAGCCCCGGAGAGGAGCACGGGGGGCTCCAGCACATGCCCGTGGCTGCAGAGCTCCCACCACGCTGCAGTTCAGCATTTTTGGGGGAAAAGTTGTTCCTTCCTCCCTTTCCTCCTCAGAATGCTTCGGCCGTGCTGCAAAGGTGGTTGCTTATCTTATGGGAATTTGGGTGACCTCACTGGAGCACACACCATTCAAATAAGCAAAACCACCTTAGCAGTAATTTAATAGTCAGTAAAGGATGCACCTAAATTGTGTTTATTTTCTTGGATTTTTTTTTTGTGCGTGTGTACATGGTGTTTTGCTGGACCTCCGATTTTACAGCTTCAGTAATTTGCCTTAAAAAAAATAGTTACTGGTTTGAACTGGTATTTGCTGTGCTATGGTTAGATGCAAATTTCTTCTCTGTGGAATGGCCGTTTACTTTTATGGGCAGCAGAAAAGAAAGCTGAGCTGGTGGTGGGCAGAGACCCTCCCGCGCCCCTGCATCCTCCAGGGGGTCCCCAGGCCCCCCTCGATGACAACTTCGCTCTGTAGATGAGGAGGAACCGCTTGGTTGCTCCGAGCCATTAAGACAAATGGCCTGACACTGACTTCTTCCTGGCAGAGAAATTCCGGAGCGGGGAACTCCGGGACGTTGGGAATGATGGAGGTTATTGCTAATAGAGAACGGCGGTGTTTGACGCTGATGAGCGCAGCCACAGTCCGCCCCCGGGGGGTCCTGTCTCTCCCCTCCCACCGACGGGTGTGAGTGGAGCTTCTTGTTTTGGTCGGGATTAATAACATCAGAATCTGGGCCGTTGTCCTCTGTATCTTCATCCAGCCCCGAGCGGGTGCCAAATGAGATGCAGGTATGAAAAGCCAAGGACCAGCCCCTCTGAACGCAGCGATTGCAGCGGCGCCGAGAACGCCTCTCAATTCATTCTTCAGAGTCACAGCTCAGAGGCTGCCTTTAATAACCAATGCTTCAAGACCAGTCACCCAAATAAATTAATGGAATAGTTTAGAGGAGGCACTACAAGGCATCTTGCCAAGACATATATGCTTTTTTATCAGTGAAATTGGCAAGAAAGTAACTTTCGGGCTTAAGATTTTCAATTCCAGCCTGTATGAAAAAATAAATTGATTTTCACCAACTGAAGATACTTACTCTTGAGGATTTAACATTTCTGTACAAGTGAATATATATGTACACACACACACACTCACACACACTCACTCCAAACCACACATTAGACCTGGCGTTTCTTCAGCGGGAGACGGCATCCTTTGCAAGATATGAAGGATTTCTGGTGTGATTTATAACGAAAGCTCGATGCTGCTCCTAAATTAATTGATGTGTGTTTATTCCTGTAACTCCATCTGCGTTGCCAGGGAATAAATCGCTTCTCAAAAGTTCCTCTCATGAAGTCAAAATCTGCCAATACAGTGGGTAGAGCTCTCTCCTGCCCCCCGTGTGCCGGGCGGCTCGGCTGCCCCAAGGACCCCCCCATGGGAGTGGGAGCTTTGGCTGTGGGTCTGCCCCACAGATGTGGGGCTGGCTCAGTCGGGAACTTCTGCAAAGACTTGGATGAGCTCTATGTGACCCTCGTGCCTGGCCATGGGCAGAAATCTGGTTGGCATTTTGGGAGCTGTTGCAGGGGACGGTGAAGATTGAAGATGGAGAAGCGGAGGAGCGAGTTCCCAACGTGAGGGGAACTACTTCGGGGAGGAGTCACACAAGGAGCAGGGAAGCAGTTTGGGCTGAGTCCAGGTAGAAAATCCATGAAATGGGTACAAGGAGGGTCCCAGTGAGGATGCTGCCATCGGTCTGTTCAGCAAACTGGAGGGTGCTTGTCTGCCAGACCCCCGGGAGCGCTCCGAGAGCCGCAGTCGCACACCCTGCGGGGCTGTCTCTGCCCGTACCCCCCGCTGGAGCTGAGCAGGGGAAGGTGCTGTGAAGCTTCGTGCCCTTGGCCATTCCTTCCACCCGTCCAGAGGGAGGACAGATCCTCTGCAGACACTGGAGGTGCCCATTGCCCTGTCCCCAGACCCTTGTGCTGTTTGACAGACGTCCCCGTGAAGGTGGCTTTGAAGGTGGCACTGCCAGAGCAGCCGAACTGGAACCAGCGGCTTTTGCCCCGATGTTGGACACAGACCCCACCGAGGGGTGGGAGAAGGTCTGGCTCTCCCACATTTCACTGTTCACGGGGGACAAGTGAACAAGGTGTCATCCCATCAGCACTCTCACTGCTCCAGCAACAGAAGTGTTTGTCAGAAGGGACATCCCTGAGAGTTCATCTCCAAACAACAATAACAATAAAAAAGAAAAGGGAAAATAGGCTGCACCGATAAACCCTGCCCAGTGCCCGCCAGCAGCCTGAAGAGTGACTCTGATGGATAATGATATGAAGCAATAAATGTACTCTGTCCTTGATGATTTTTAAGAAAGACCGTTTCCTTTTATTTCCACATAAAACTCTTACTGGAAACAGTAGTTAAAACACAACAGTAAAAGTCTGGCTGTTCCTGGTAGCTGCTGAGGGTTTATACTGCTCTGTGGCCATGCATCTGGCCCTGCCCCAGACAGACCTGGAGGCACCAGCTCTACTGTGACAAACTCACCCACAGCAACCGGCCCTTCCGTGCAACGTTTGCATTGCCCAGAATTAATTAAAGATCAACCCAGATACTGTGACAAACTCACCCACAGCAACCGGCCCTTCCGTGCAACGTTTGCATTGCCCAGAATTAATTAAAGATCAACCCAAAGTCCTCCATGTTTCTTTCCCAATCTGTGTTCCTGCCTCTCAAAGTAAGCACGGAGATTCACAAAGTGGCTCCATAACCAAGTCATGGCCAAGAAAAGTTGCAGGAGGATGCTGCTGTTCCCTGGTATTAATATTCAGCACGTTGGCTTCCTTTAATGAGTCTTGGCAATTAAACTGCTGACAGCCCAGCGGAGCTGCCTTTACACTGTGCCTATTCAAATTATTGCAGTATTCCAGGCACAACCTGATCTTTAAAGCATGAACTGTCTTTGTTACACTTTGGCCCGTATATTTCCTTCTGAATTGGGTTCCCGGGGGGGAAAAGGACCCTTCCCTGTGCTGCCCCAGCAGAGGTGGGGGAGGGACCCCCATTCCCTCTGGCAGAGCTGTCCCCAAGCTGTCCCCAAGCTGTGACCGGTGCTCCCAGGGGAGCCCTGAGAACTCCACACCTTGCCCTGGAAGGCAGCTTTTTGAGTTCATCATTGAATTTTAATTCCTCTACAGATCATTCCGTAGATTAATCATCCCTCATTTCTATCCCTTTATCCTCCCACTCTTTTTTTCAAAGTGTGTTTTTACAGGCCAGCTGTGGGTTTAAAGGTCTTTTTAAGTGCCTTGGTTTCTTTCAATATTTTAGGCAATAGTGAAATATGAATGTTCTCAGCAACCTCCTCTGCAGTGTTGGCTAACTTCTGAAATTAATTATGCTTTAAACAGAAGAAATTAGTATAATTTGATTCTGATGCATTGGTGGTGTTACCTTGTACTGGCTTTCAGAGGTTAATAAAACTTGACTACATGAATGTGAATACCTGAAGGACAGGAAAGATATTTCAGCCATAAAAAATCCTGGTTGGAGAGGACACTTTGCAACATCTGCCCAGATTTAGGCTGGATTTGTTCCCTGTCCCTGCAGGGTGGCTGGGTCACCGAGGGCCCAGGGGAGCTGCTGTTGGAGAGACAGGGAAGGAGCTGCAATGGGGGAGACGTGGAAATAGGGAAGATACTTTAGGGAATGTAAGATTTTTCCTGTAGGGCTTTAATATAAGATAAGCCTCTCCTGCTGTGCCTAATATGTTCCTCGTCTTAGGGTGTCAGATCCAATAGTGGGTACGGTCTCCAAAGCTGTAAAATCAATAGAACTTTGTAATTCTAACTTCAATTAGCAACAGGGAGCGGGGGATTTAGCCGTGATGTGAATCTGGGTAAGTTAAACTGACAGGGGTCAGAGTTGGGACAAGGGTGTGAGACTGACACAACCTGCTTATAGGAGAAGCAGTGGTGGCTTAGGGACCTTTTTGTCTCTGGTTCTTTGTTCTCCCTCCCTTTGGCCCGAGAACATTGTGTCTCTGCCGGGATGGCAGAAAGCCTTTGCCTGGTCTCACCTTGAAGAAGGTCATGGTAGCTCCATCCTTCACTGCTCCGTACTCTATTTTTGTCTGCTTTGCCAAGTCATCTGCTGAGTCGATGGGGGATTCCATCCTCTCCACCGTCAGGAAAGCAGCAAGGTTGGCCGTGTAGGACGAGATGATAATTAGGGTGAAGAACCACCATATGCCACCAATGATCCGTGTAGACAATGCTTTGGGCATCAGCTCGGAGCCTGGGGTTGGGAGAGGGGGAAGGAGAAGGAGAAGGAAACAAAGAGAAAGGACCTCCGTCAGGAAAGCAGCAAGGTTGGCCGTGTAGGACGAGATGATAATTAGGGTGAAGAACCACCATATGCCACCAATGATCCGTGTAGACAATGCTTTGGGCATCAGCTCGGAGCCTGGGGTGGGAGAGGGGGAAGGAGAAGGAAACAAAGAGAAAGGACCTGGTTTAGATATCCGTATGTACATTATATACATACCCACATACTTATAAAAGTTTAGGTTTCACTGTCAAAATTGCAACAGCTGCGTAATTAAAGCCAACTGGTTTTGAGGCAAATTATCCAGACGTCTTGCATGCAAGGAAGTCGGTGGGGTTTTTGTAGCATTTGCAGAAAAACCCTCTCCCTTTATTGCTGACCTTGGGTACAGTGCACAATTTACAGGAAACATTCAAACTGAAGTAATTAACTAGGCTGCTTTTATGAGATTTAAATAGCAAGCCATTTATGAACTTTTATGAGTGTTTTGTTCTGCCATTTAAAAAGTGCTTTGCCTTTCTATGGATTACTTTTCAAAGGACTCACTCTAGGGAGTGTGTTCAAATACACAAGGTTTAAAAAAAAAATATCAAACGGCAAGAGAAAGGAACTATCAGGGTCCAGTACTTTGAATGCTGGTTAGAAGTGGGGAAGCAGGAGATGTTACAGCAGAAAAGGTGTAACAGGTCTGGAATGACTTTTATTGAGCAGCCATGAAGGACTAAATGGGTTGTGCTATTTTTGTAATTGCCCAAGACACCTTTTAAATCCAGGAAAGAGCTTTAGGTTTGAAACAGCTGCGTGCAGAGGATAAATCCAACCTGGAATTGGCAACAAAGATCGGGCTTTGCAAAGCAATTTTAAGCAGTGTGGCATCAAAGCGTAGCACGGGGTGCAGCTCTTCTCCCGGCTGAGTGCGGCGAGGAGGCACCAGGGAGCGGAGGAGCCTTGGGGATGGAGAGCTGCTTCTCCAGATCCTGCCTCTTCCCCATCCCATCTCTTGCCCTTTGATGCATTGGAGGGTGTGACATCAGTCTAGCTTTGAAATATTATTTTTCTTAGATGCAGAATAGAGTTAAAAAGAATTCGGCTCTTTTCATTTATCAGCATCTGATAAGAGGATGATTCATCCTGCTAAACCCTCTTGCTGGGAACTGTCCCTGTCCATCAGAGCCGAGATCTGGGAAGAATTTCTCTCTCAGGCTGCGGCAGCAGGAGGAGAAGGGAGCAGCAGCTCTGTGTGTGCCACCAAGCTGATACTATGGTTCTTTTGCTTTCTGGGTAGAACTACTGATACACGGTAAATTAAAGCATGGCAAATGTTTGACATTTTCTACTTATTTCTATTCCTGGATTTTCTGCAATTAGATCACAGCTGAATTTCGTTCTTTATTCAGAGCTGCTCACAAGCTCCCCCTCTGCTGTCTTCCGAACAGATTTACTCTATTCATTCCTTCTATATATATTCCATTTGCTCTATTCCATCCACATATATGAATGTAATCCCATCCATATCCCATTTCTAAGGTTCCTGTCACTGTGGTATCTCACACCGATGACGCTGACAGCGTTGGGTCTCGCAGGCGGTGGCTGCCAGGCAGAGCTGCCTGGGGGAGCTCCTCACCATCCCCTGCCCCTGCGGCCCTCACCCTGGAGTCTGGGGCCATCTCAGTGTGCAGAGTGACCAGATGAGGCTAAAAATGGAGACAGAGCAGAGGGAGAGGTGCCCTGTCTTCTGTAAAAGTTGATTTAAAACTGAGCGAGCCAGGACAGAGATCCTGAAATTAAATGAGTCGGTTGAATGAACATAAGTAGGAATATGCAGAATCTGTGGGGTGCTGCTGAGTTGGGTGAATTAAACAGCCGATGGAGACAAAGGCAGGGTTCCTCCTGGGGGCATGGTGGGGGCTGCTCTGTGCACCCCAGCAGCAGCACACGTGCGAACACGGCACCGCTCCATCCTCTGGGTGCTCCCAGATGGCAGGCTCCAGAGCTGCTCCTTCTGACACCTGCCAGAGCCTGCACGCTTCATTAATGGTAATTATTGTATGCAGTGGCACGTGTGTGCTGGTGGCTGGCTGAGCCCATGGGGCTCTGCGCTGTGGGGCAAGCGAGGGGTCTGTCCCCAGGGCTGTGGGGGGAGCTGCTGGGACGTGGCCTTGACCCCTCAGGGGGTGGAAAGTACCAACAGAGGCAGGTGTCAAAAAACAAACAAAAAAAAAAGACTGAGAAGCTCCAGCCTGCTCTGGCACAGAGGAAATCGGATGGTTTTCTTGGCATAAAAGCCTTGGACCTTTTCCTGGTGCCGCAGACAGGGCTCGGTGCTGGCACCCGTCCCCCTGTCCCTCCGTCCAGGCTGGTGCGGTGCGTTGGCTCGGGGGGTGTCTGCGTTGGCTCGGGGGGTGTCTGCGTTGGCTCAGGGGGTGTCTGAGCAGGTGAAGTTCAGAGTGAGCGAATCACAGCAAACGCAGTCCCCAGGAGCCCCTGAGCTGCGGGTGGCAGCTGGTTCCCCTGATGAGATTATTGTCCATGAGCCCTTCGCTGGCCTCAGCCCCAGCCCGAGGTGCTGCTGTGCCCGTGGCTCCCCAGGGAGCAGCTCCCCAAGGTGCTGCTGTGCCCTGGGGCACATCCCCATGGGGAGCAGCGGGTGCCCAGTGCTGCCCAGGACTGCGGGTCCCGGGGGGTGCTGGGGGAGAGCTGCCCCCCCTCTCCCACACCTCACTGCCTTTCAGCAGGGAGCCGGTGCTGACGAGCGCTTCTGTGCCTCTTCAGATCACAAACAAAATAAATTTTAGATTTAAAAAGCCTCCGTGCTGCAGAGCTGGGGGTGGGTGGGCAGGGAGGTGCCGCCGTACCTTGCTGCATCAGCGCTCCCATCCCAAACCAGAAGCTGTTGAACAGGGTGAAGTTATTCTCCACGATGTCGGAGCCGGGGTTACAGGGATGAGCATCGTACCACTCGTACGGGCTGAACCTGCGGCAGCACATGGAAAGCGAGAGCTCGTTAGTCGGGATGTGGCATGACAAGACCCTAAAGGAACAGGAAAAAAAGAGCCTTAATGCATCTCGTGCTGCTGCACAGGGCCTGCTGCCCCCTTCCTTGTGTCAGACAAATTCAGCCGAGATTTTCAGAAGTGACCAGCGTGGCTGTAAGCCCCGTGTCCTGCGTTGCAGACAGCAGGGAAACCTGGGAAGCCAGGTCCTTCTGAAGTATCTCAGGTTGCTTCCCCAAAGCCTTTGGTCACTTCGGATCATCTCCGCAATGCTAGGTCAGACGACAGCAATGGAGCACACAACTATGGGATGGGATGTGCAGACACACGACCTCCAGCCTGAGAATGCATTTATTTCCAGAGCGTGGGGGAAAGTGGCATTTCTAGATGGACTGAGGAGAGATGCTGCAGTGGTTCTGCAGCGGTAGCTGGGACAAAAAGCAGAGTTTGAGGGGACTTTCCTGCTATTGCCCTCGGGAATCAGGGTGGGATTGAGCTGAGTGAGAAGCAGAACTTTCCACCATCCAGACAAGCAGGAATCCGGCACGGTCAGGGCACCAGCACAACAGGGGACACTGGTGTGGGTTTGCCATGGAACTGCTGTGATGCTCGGCCCCATTGCAGGTGGTGGGAGAACATTATTCCCTGTGGGAGCACATTTATTCCCTGTGGGAGCATATTTCCATGGAGCACGCTGTAGCTCTTGGGAAAAACCAAGGGAATTTTCTATGGTCATTTCTGCAGATCCTGCCTAGGGTTGGTAGGGAAGCGCCGCTGTGAGCACCGCTCTTTTAGCCAAGAGCTGGGGAGGATGCTCAACAGGAGAGATGCTAATGTTTTTTGAGCTGTTTATTTACATTTTCGAAGAGTCCCAAATTTTGCAGAGATTAAATTAAAAACATAATTGGTATAATTGCTTTTGAACCAGGCATTAATTATCATCTCCGCTTCCTTCTGAAATCTCTGTAGCTTTACAACAGCCCTTTTTTTTTAAAGCCCAGCCCACAGTTTGCATTGGGAGCTATTTCTCTCTGTAATTCTCTGCCAGACGCGCCGCTGCCCAAGGAGATGTCATCTTGCTTCATTTCACAGGCCCCGCGCTCAGGCAGTTGGATGTGTTTGGAGAAAAGAGCCACAGCTCTCTCCCAGGTGCCCCCCAGCACGAAATACCCCCCCAGGCAAACACCTCCCCAGGCTCTGCCCTGCACACGGAGGTGTCTGTGACCACGGAGCCGTGGTCCCCAGGCAGGAGAATGGAGCAGGGCAAAGCGCAGGAGGATGCTGTGGGGCAGACCTTGCCATGGGGGGTGATGGACTGGCTGCAACCCACAGGACTTGTGGTTTTAGGGAAGTTCACCCTGGGTACATCTCTCCCAGTTTTTGCTTCGATTTTCCACACACAAGATAGAGGTTAAGGACCTCTCCCCTTCCATCCCCGTTATCTCTCTGTCCGGTAGCAGGAGCGTTGCCTGCTCTGGGCTTGCAGGGTGGGACCCAGAGCCCTCACCGTGAGAGTCCTGCTCGTTCATCCAGGTATCACTGAGCCGGTCTCACTGCCCACCTCTCCCTGCTCTTTGAAACAGGAGAAAACCAGAAAGGCAAACAAGAATTGGCCTGAACTCAGACCTGGCTTTACATGCTGCCTGGTTCTTCAAACTTGCTGTAAATTTCTGCCAGAGGCGTACGAAGGATGCGCCCGGGCCCTTTCTGTCAAATAAAGCCAGAGTTCAAGAAATAGATGAAAACTTTCTTGGGCTGCCAATGAAAGGCTATGAAACAGAAAGGGAATTGGTAAGATCAAATGAGCCTGACAAGATGACACGCTGAAGAACTTCAAGGTCTCTGTGTGAAAACCTACTGGTGCTGCTCAAATGACAGAGAAATATTCAGAAAAGTGCAAAGCAGCGACAGAGCCTTCAGTGCTTGAAAAGCGAGTGGGACCATTAGCGGAAACCGAGGGGTAATGAAGGAAGAAGCGAGTGGGGCTTGGTGACCCCATATGGCTGGAGCCACAGTAAATGGGGCTGCTCGGGGGGCTGGCTTCCCTCTTCCACAGGTGCAGAAAGGTATCTGAGAAATATTTAATCAGAAACTGTGATTGTTTTTCTTGTCTCTTATTGGCCTTTTTGGCAGGGAAACAAGGGAGCATTTCAATGAAAGTTTAAAGATCTAACGCAAAATACTTTTGAGTCTAAATTGCATCTCCAGAGACATTTCTTATGGATGACCCAGTCCTTGTTGCAATTAAGATGAATATTAAACCCACCCGCCCCGTCGGGCACCCCAAGGTGATTAGCTGTAATTTGAAGGCGGCGTGAATCTGAGGACAAGTGACAATTCAAATCAGCAGCCACAGCCCCACACCACAGTCACCAGACAAATTACCCCCACGGAGCCCTATAAATTGCTGGTGTTTATAGCTCTTTGGGGGCCGGGGTGGTCAGGAGCCGGGGCTCCATCAATAACTGAGAAAGACTGATTAAAAGGGGAGATGGATCAAATACATCCTTTGCCTGCCTCTAAAGAGTCCCTAAGTTGGTTTTAAGTGGCATTGACCTATGATCATAGCGTCAGCAGAGGACTCTGGTGCCTAGTTCAGGATATTCATGTCTCTGAATTAAGGCTTTGCTATTTTGACTGTGGTTTTCTCCTGAGAATTGAATTTTAGAGGCCTTGCTGGGGTCAAAACCAGATATTGTTTCCATTACTTCCGAAAGTAGTAAATATTTTCCCCATGAAATCTCTTGCTCTTCGTCTCTTTGTGTTGAAAGATCATTTCTGCAGAACCTTAATTACCCTGAATGCATGGTGTTCTTTGAAAGAAGAGGAAGACAGAAGAAATGTCAGGGGGGAAACGTGAAAAATAAACTGTAATTTCAGTATTTTATAGGTTTGATTTCAGCCAAAAAATAGCCTGATAGGGAAAAACTGCTGTATTACATCATAACTGCTTTGAGGTAGAGACATTCTGAGGCTCATTTCACGTCATCTCAGAGCAAAACCAGAGACTAAAGCACAGTTCCTCAGGTTTTCATCCCTCGGTGCCAGCCCCAAAGCCCAGCTCACGTGGTGTCTGAGGTGTCTCACCTCGGGGCCTGTCCAACCCATTCCCTTTGACCTTCCCTCAGATTTTGCCATTTTGCCATTTTGCCTTCTCTGGACCCGCTCCAGCCCCTCAATGTCTCTTTTGTGGTGAGGTGGTATTGTGGTAGGAAGAACAAGAGGTGCCGTTTCTGTGTGTTACACTGCTGCTGAGGTGGGATGAGCTGTCGGGAGGTGTTTTGGGGCTGCTCTTTGTGCTGTGATGCTCTGAGCACCCAGGGCTGGGCTCCCGTGGGCACTGGGCAAAGCCTGCCCATCCTCAGGTGGCTCCCCGGGGACTCGGAAAGGTGCCTGGAACCCGGCACAGCGCCCTGTTGTAGCCACACAGCACAAAGACCAGGAAGGAGAACAATTGCAGCTAAAATCTTGGGCATGGAGGGCCTTCTGTGTCCTCCAAGCCTGAAGCACAGCCCCTCCAGCCCTGCCCATCCGTGGAGGCAGGATGAGGCCATGTGGCTCCTTCCCCGTCCCAGGCGGCTTGGAGTAAGGCTGCCTGCAGAGCCCGGCTTCCTTTGACAGTGTGTCATTGGGGTATCACAGAGTAAACTCAGGAAATCATCTCTAAATGCCTCCGTGGACCTGAGGGATGTTGAAAATAGCAGATTTGTTGTAACACCAGGGTTAATGGATTCTGGTTGCTGTAGTTGCGTATTTAATCTTTACTTTGACTACGTGATTGATGTCGGTGGGGTCAATAGGAGCTGGTCTCTGAAGGATGCTCTGAGGAAAGCTCTGCACAGCCCCCCGTGGGGAAGGGGGTCCGTGTAGAGCCCCAGTCTGAGGTGGGGGGTCAGCAGGGAGGTTTCTGGAGGCACCACTGCCATAACTTGAACTGGAGGAGATGAGAAGTGCATGGCTAAGTGTGGGCTGTGCTCAGGAAACTTCCCTGGGCACCACGTTCCCAGGGGATGTGCAATGGCTGGGGAGGGCGCCTGCCCGGCAGGAGGGAGCCAAACGCTTTCTTTGGGTTGGAAAAGGTGGAATCACGTATTGCAGAGCAGCCCTGGACTGCGCGTCTCATCAAAGACTCTGTGAAGTTAATAACACATGCAAATATATGCAAATTCTGCTGCTTTTAAATATAGAGGTTTTAAACATGCTAATTAGATGCATATTAATTTTGTAAACAGACGCATTGTCTGATCCCTAGCAATGAGGTCTCCATTCTTTTGATGCAGGGAAGGGTTTGTGGAGCTCTGCCAGTGCGGGGTTCAGAGAGAGGGGCTGGAAATGGTGCAGGACACGGGGGCTCTGTGTCCAGGACACAGTGGGGAGACAGGGCTTCTCCACAGAGAAGGTGGGTGAGAAGGGACCCAACAGGAGCAGGAATGGTGAGGAGTGATACAGAGCAGGGATATCGGATCTCCTGTTCCCCTTCGTTACACCAGGGAGGTGCCAATGAAATGGAAAGGCAATGAAATTTCGAAACCCACAGAAGAAAGCGTGTTTTAAAATTCTTTTGTACTGGAAGTCTCCTAAATCTGTGGAACTGCCTGCCCTGCTACAGCAAAAGAGGCTTAGAGGTTTATGTTAATAAAGCAAACAAACACAGGCACATTTGGTATGGTGAAGCAGTACAAAGGATATAGCACAGGCTGGAGCCAGCGAAGAAGAAAACAAATTTCCCCTGTGGATAGCTCATCTTTAATTTTCTCCACGGGGTTTGCATCACCTCTGCCACCTCCCAGAGATACAGCTCGGAAAGGGGACAGAGCCCCGGAGCGTGACGGTGGTGAGCACCAGGAGCCCGGGGTAGTGGACCAGGAGTAATGTCATTAATGACTCGGGTTTAACGCTGCAGCTCCCGCTGGGTGCTGGATCCCTGCGACACACCAGGCAGCAGAACGGATCTGAGCGTGGAGGAGTGTCGTGTGGCATGGCAGCAGATGTGGCAGCAGATGTGGCGTGATGGCAGTGGGGAGGGGTGGCACCGGCGTCCCCTTACCTGGCTATGACAAAGAGGACGCAGCTGACCCCCAGGTAGGCCAGGAGGATGTACATCCAGATGTCCGGAGACAGGGGGTTGAGGAAGGAGAACACGCTGGGGTTGGTCCCGTTGGGTTTGCGGTACAAGATGCTGACCCCCAGCGTCATAAAGGGCTTGGAGAAGTCTATCGCTTTCTCCCGGACGTGGGTGATGGTGAGAGGAGCAACGGCCAGATCAGCTTTCTGTGCAACAGAGGGGGAGGGAAAGAGGGTGTCAGAAACCAGGGCGTTTCCACCCCCTGAGAAACACCCACAGCCCTCATGCTGCGCGGTATTGGGCCAAAAAACCCCCAAAGTGCAGCCCTGGGGCTCCCCAGAAAGAGGGGGTCAGAAACCAGGGCGTTTCCACCCCCTAAGAAACACCCACAGCCCTCATGCTGCGGTATTGGGCCAAAAAACCCCCAAAGTGCAGCCCTGGGGCTCCCCTCTCCCTTTGTGTGTGGGGTGCCAGTGCCAGGACCCCCTGTCCCCTCCCCTCCTCTGCCCCTGGCACAGGCTGGGTCCCCAGAACCCCCTCCCTCAGGCTCTGGCTGTGCAGAGAACACAGAGCTGTCCCCAGAGCCCCTGTGTGACACACGGACGGGTGGGCTCTGGGCAGCTTTCTGTGAGCTCTGCTCCAAACCCTGCCGTGAGGACCAGGGACCCTCTGGGTGCATCAGGCACCCGGGGCAGGACGGGAGGAACGGAGCGGGTGTGATACGGTCCAGTTATTGCAGAGAGTTCTCATCCCTGCAACAAAACCCCAGCACAGACGCGGGGTCTCTACAACACGCCGGACAAGATTCCGGAGGTGGTGCCGTGGATGTGTTTACCATCCTTAAAAGAGCTGTTCCTGATTTAAATCCGTGGGCTGGAGAGCGAGACGTGGTCTGGTGTTTGCTCGTTAGGAGTTCCACTGCACGAGCACAGCATTCATCCTGACTTCTTGTACGAATTGTCTTTCTTTCTATGATTTCTGTTATTTAACGGTTTCTACGCCAGATCCAGTGAGTAGCCACACACAGCCTCTTGCTTCAGAGCTGCCTTCATTTCCTCTCACTAAACATTCATTCAGGATCTCAAACCACCCGTCGGTGAGCACGGCCCAGGCTGCCTCGGCATCGGCTGCTCTGCCAGGGCTTCAGATCCCTCTTTTGGTGCCACTGACTTGGGAGGGAACACAGCAGAGGAGCTGCCTCTCTGCAGTTGAGCAGAGCCCACCCCGTGCCAGGAGCCCAGCACACCCGCGCGAGATTTATTTAGCATCTGGTTCTGAAAATTAAAATTCTAAATTAACCGTGAGTGATAATTAAGTAGCGATATAGTGGATTTGTCATTACTTGCAAACTTTAAATCAATATCTGCTGTCTGACTGGAACAGGCTTTGTTCCGGCAGAAGCTGTGGGTTCCCTGGAGCAGTTGGTGATGATCTCTGGCCTGTCCTGTGGGAGAAGGTCGGACTAATGATCTCATTTGACCTCGTAAATTTTGTGATGAAAGTCAGTGGAATATTTTTAAATACAGGAATCTGGGCCGCCTTCTTTCTCCGCGAGCTTTTCTCCATTCCATAGGTGTATGTGTGTGCGGGAAAGAGCTCTCCAAAGAATGTGCCTTTAGAGCTCCTGAACAGAAGGGTTTCAGGAATTCTCTAACAAGGGTAAAAATATATATTTTTTTCTAGGGTGGTTCTTTAGCTGAGCCCTGGTTGGTTCCCTTTCCTCGTCACTTTCCAAATGGAAATATATTTTAAAATCAGCTTGGTACAGAAAGTGTCCATTTCAATCACTGGCATTTGTCAAAACTTAGAGAAAATGGAAACAGCATGTTCTCAGTGAGCCCTGTTGTGCCAGCCTGAGCCCTGTTGTGCCAGCCGAGGCGGCGGTGCCACTGGTGGGCAAGGAAGGACAGTGAAGGACGGTGGGTTGGAGGAGAGGACAGGCCGTGGTGGCCACCTGGCTGGGATGAAGGTCTGTGTCCCGGGAGCAGGGGGTGATGGGTTTGGAGCTGCTCTCCCCACTCGAGAATTTTGGCTCAGCCGCCTCCAAGATCACAAGGGAAAACCGGCAACAGAAATGCAGCATTTCAGCTCCTCCATCGCCCTGCGGGGGTGTCCTGACTCACCAGGGAAACCGAAGGAGACGTTGAAGGATTTGGCTATGGATTTTTCTGAAGGAGGAGACAAATGAGCAGTTCTGGGGTCAGCGCTCGCTCGCAGCCACCCCTCGGAAAGATCCGTGGTCAAATTTGTGGAAATAATAGAGCGAGGTAAATAACAGCTGGGAGCGGGTGCTTCACCGTGGAAAACGAAGAGAGAGGAATCTGCGTGGATGCCCAAGGATCAAAATGCTTTTAGTGCAGAAATAAAATTTTACTGTGTCATTTGAGCAGCTCCTGTGATTTGATCACAGCCCCGTGTCCTTGGCAGTAAATGTCACTGGGGCGGGATGGAGCGTGCATCAGGGAGCCCGCTCCGCGCCGTGTCCTCAGCTATTAAAGGCAGGACGGGGCTGCACTTCGATATCCTTTTTATCAATGCAGATTTTTTCTGAAGGTGGCCTCTAATTAAGGGTTTGCTGACTGAGAGGATCTAAATCAAAACCCACCAAGGGTGAAGCATTCATTTGTCGTGCTCTGACATTACAAACCGGGAAGTCAATTATCAGGCCCTGGCTGCTTCCTTCCCTCAGCCCCAACTTTTATGCTGTTGCACAGTAAGATGGGTTTTATTAAAAATGAGGAATTATAGCAAGTGCCAGTGGCTTAAAGGCTCTTATCCAGCAAAACCACTTAAGCACACGCTTCTGTTTTACCGGAGCTTGCACGCCTTCCAAGTCTTATGTATGTTCCTAAGTGTTCTGCTGAATTGAGGCCAGAAAGATGGATGTTGCCAAGGCAGCTACACACCAACTGCAGCCACTTCTCCAACACACCTTGAAGGGTTTGAATCTCCTCATTCTCCCAGCGTTACAGCATTTTCACTTGGCTGGAACTGATGTGGGTTCACCAGGTGTTCAGTGGATGGAGGGTACTATTCTCTGCAGAGATATTTGGCTTTTATCAGAAAATGCTAAGTCTTATCTCCAAGTCCTGTGTTGTCGGGGGGATGTGGCCCGTGGGTCAGCACAGCTCTGCAGGGCCACGGTCACTGTGGAAATCCTGCAGCATCCGACCTGCGCCGGAGGAAAGCTGCGTGTGACGGCCGGTCACAGCAGAGCCACCAACAGCATAAGCACAGAGATAAATATTTATTCAAGAAAATAAGCTGCCTCTGTGCTTATTTTGCCAATCTGAGTTAGGTATTTACATAAACTAATTATGTGTGCGTTGCCTGAGAGACAGGTAAATAGTGCATATTTAACTTATTTAATTGTTATTCAGGTGTCTCTCCGGCAGCATCGACACTTTCATCCCTCAGGCTCTTTTGCCACCAGCGCTGGGGCTCAGCCCTTCTCTGCTCCCACCAGGTCCCATCTCTGTCCCCTCCTTTGCCTGCTGGGCTGCCGTGTCCCAGCGCCCTGTCCCAGCACATCCTGCTCCATGCTGGCCTCCTCCTGCCTCTTCCTGCACCTTTCCCTGTGGCAGAGCCAGCTCCAGGGCACAGAGAGCCCAGAGACAGAGGGACTAAGGCTTCAGCAGGCATCTGAGTGCCCTGACAGCCCTGTGCCCCCAGCCCTCCCCTCTGGCCAGGGGCAGGAGAATGTTCAGCCTCAGAAGTGATGCTTGAGGGAGAAGTGATGCTCAAGGTCGTGCCCGGGACATCTCAGCTGCCCTCGTCCTGCCACCGCGTGCTCCCTGCGCTGGGGTCAGCGTTAATTGTCTGCCTCCAGCTCTTAATGGCTGCTCTTACAATTTCAGTCCTAATTTAGACGTCATTTTTGTCAATGAATTTATTTAATATCAGTGGTGAATTAAGAACAGATGTCGGCAGAGAAAATCTAGCTGTAAGCTGTAAACCGAAGAGCAGAAATGAGGACCATGAAGTCCTGTTGGGCACCTTGTAATCTTTGCTTTAGGAAAGTCCCTCGGACACAGAACTACCATTAATTGTACCCAAGAGATGTCATAGGCTGCAGGATCCCAGGGAGAAGGGCTGTGGTTTTAGAGACAAGTCCTGTCCTGTGAGTTACTGGCAGGTGACAAGGCAGGTCCAGGGAGAGCTGCAGGAGGGAGCAGGGGACTGGGGCTCCCAGTACACACCGCAGTGGGACCCCATCACCTCCAGTGCTGAACGTGGGAAACACCAACACACGTGATTAACGATGCTGAGCACAAAAGGAGAAAGTGCAGGCAGCTGTTTTGGCTTATTTCCATCCCTCCCGAACACCGAGTTCCTGCAGTGTCTGAACTAGAGATGGAGGATGTTTTATCCCACAAAATTGGTTTTTTCCTATCCCTGGCCCAGTGGCTTCCAGATGAATCCCCAGTTCACGACACTTGAAGTAAACATCCACTGGTGCAGGGACATCAATGGGAATGTGGCACTGTGGTGCAGTATGTATTTCTGCCAGAATTTACTGTCAATAAATGCCTATTTATTGTGAAAGTGTTAAATCAACTGTCATAAATCGTCCCTAAGGACAGACATTACATCTTCTCTACAGTTACCATTGGCAGGGATTTCTGTTAGAAACCCTATTATTTTCCATACCTTTTTTATTCCCACATGAAGTTTCAGATTGAATGGAAATTTGATATGCACTGTCTCAGCAGAAGACAAGTTTTATTTGTCAACAAGTTTGTGCAAAGTGTCCAGAACAACTCATTCTGCTGGGTTTATGTGGTTCTGCCACAAGAGAGAAGATTTGCAGGCACTGTTTTGCCTGACAACTGGAATTTAGAAATCATAATGGACGGGCCACAAGGCACAGGGTAGTTTTGCTTGTATGAATAATAATTTCTACGAATAAACATCAATAACAGCTCACTATTATGAAAGGAGGAGCTTTGACAGCTGCCAGTTCCCTGTTTATTATGGATACAGGGCAGAGGCCCTTCTCTGTGTCACCTGGGTGTCCCCAACCTCCCCAAATGCCAGTACAGGGACACACAAACAAGAGAGAAAATTTGCAGGCACTGTTTTGCCTGACAACTGGAATTTAGAAATCATAATGGACGGGCCACAAGGCACAGGGTAGTTTTGCTTGTATGAATAATAATTTCTACGAATAAACATCAATAACAGCTCACTACTATGAAAGGAGGAGCTTTGACAGCTGCCAGTTCCCTGTTTATTATGGATACAGGGCAGAGGCCCTTCTCTGTGTCACCTGGGTGTCCCCAACCTCCCCAAATGCCAGTACAGGGACAGCCTTCAGCTTGTCTGACTGAGGCTGCTCTGTGGGAGCACTGGGGGAGAGTGACAATAAACAGCAAACTGTGGTGAGGAGAGAGTCAAGGTCTCCAGAGAAGAGACCAAAATCCCTCCAAACAGGGATTTTTTGTGCTGAGGGAGGAGTGGTGGATGAAAGGCAGCGGGGCAGGGCTTTTTGCATCTAATGGCATGAAGCTCTTCTCCAGATCTGCTGCTGGGGACCAGGAAGACAGGGTCATGCTGTGAGCTGCTCTCACTGCTGTTGCTTTTCCTGTTTATGCTTAAGGCCAGAGTAGAAACAAGCAATTTTACAAAGGATGATAGCCCGAGGCATTCCTGCCTATGGCCAGGCGTGTCTGGATCAGAGAGGACAGGGGAAGGAGGAGGATGCGAGACTCCAAAACAAGCCGTGAGAGCTCACTGCGTAAACAGCCCGTCCTGTGTCACAGGCTGTGATTTAAACCTTTGTGTGACAGGCACCATCGTCCCTGAAACACTATAATCACACACCTCCCCAGGTACCCTGCCTGCCCCTGCGCCCGGCTCCTTTCAGGCTCTATTTCCCACCCCCAGCAGAAGGCATCCTGTGTGATGGGATGCCCCATGCTTTGCCCATCTCCTTTTCACCAAATTTCAGCCTCAAATCAGGCTATTCCTGGTACATCTGCCGCTGCCATGGCTCTCAGCCCTCCCGAGTGATATCCATCACTGGTTTAGCCTCTTATTGTGCCTCAGAGCACCCTCTCCTATACATGGGATGTTCACCCCAGCCTGCACATCAGCTCAGCCACCCAAGGTTGGGGTGTCACAGCATCCTGGGGGGCTCAGTCTTAGATGCACGTGAGTTTAGTGGGTCTTCAACAATGCAGAGACTTTCCGCATGGAGTTAATCCTGGCCTGGGTGTCTGGACCTGACTAAATCCTACCTGCTTCGTGCTCCCACCTGAACGATCCCGATTCTTTGATGAGAAGGACACACTGAATACGGGGGAAAGCCAGCCCAGATGTCAAACTCCCAGCGTGGGCAGCCCTGTTTTCATCACTACAACTCTGTTTGAATTGCTGTCTCCAACGCTTTCCCTACTAGGTGTGAAATCAGTTTGAACTTTCCCATTGCAAAGCGCCCATCGGTTGTTCCTTTCCCCACACAATCTGAAGGCGCTTTGCTGCTGAGGAAGGGCCCCATCTGGTCGCAGTTTCACTTTTTAATGCTTTACATAAACACTGCTATAAAAAGCAATGACATGCAGATAAAAAAAATAATGGCTTTGTATGGGGCTTGGGCAGTGGTTATAAATCACTCCCCGGCGGGCATCCAGCCACACCTGGGAGAAAGCAGAGCTTAAACCTGATGCTGCAGTAAAACTTGTGAGAGGAGCAGATTTGGTCCTTTCCTGGTACTTTATATTAATTTGTTTTTTAAATAGTTAGCCAAGAAATACTTTAATGCAGGTTGACGGTGAGTTTTGTGTTACTCGATGAGGTGGTTCCTCATACCTTCCCCTTGTCTGTCTCTTAGCTGACCATAGCTTTGGGAATGGCTGAAAGCCTCCCGAGAGCCCTCTAACATCTTGTGGGAGGTTGGAAGTGACATGGTTTGGGCTAAATGAGGGTCTGGTTTCTATTCCCTGTATCTTATTTCCTACTTTGGAGCGATTTACTTCTCCAGAGCCCTGGCCTGTGCTCGGTGTCCCCTCCTCTCTGTGTCACACACATCACTCAGCAACAAAGCACCAGCCCCTTCCACCGGGATGCTGAGTGTCACTTGTCTAACTTAGGGAGCTGGGATCTGTATTTTGGGCTGTGTGGAGTTTTCTGGAAGCAAAGCTAGAAAGGCAGGTTTGCAGAGCCTGAAGTGTATTCCCCTGCGAGACGCAGCCCGGCTCCCCGGGGCTGTCCTTGCCTGCCCTTCCCGCTTCTCCAGGGCCAGCCAGCTCGGGACTAAGCGCTCTTCTCAAACTGATTAAGCATCACTTTGTCCCTAGAAGGGACATAATCATTATCATCTGCATTTTACAGATGGAGGAAGCATTGCACAGAAGCAACTTGTCCAATGTCATTTAGGGCAGACAAGCCAAATCCGGAAACGCAGCCCCGCTCCCCGAGCCCCAGCGCCGCAGTCTCGCTCCAGACAATGCGCCGTTATCTCCTCACAGCGCAGCTCATTTACTGGAGTGACTCACCCAGCAAATACATTCTTCTCACATGAACTGTAAGAGCATCACAGCTGCTACGTACGTGGGATTATTTTTGTCTCTTTTCTGCTTAGGCAATGTTTTCAAAATGCAGCCAGGAACTCGAGAGGTGGTCCAAGGGCTGCGCCACTTGAGCAGGATGTCGAGGAGAGAGCTGTGTTACGCTGCTGCCTGCGCCGCGCGGCCCAGACATTAATTCTCTCCTCATCTCTTCTTCCAGAGACCTTTTCTGGGAATCAGAAATTCATAAAACCACCAGCTTTCCTCACCTCCCCTAACTGGGCTTCTGGGATCACAGGATGTGCTGGAGGCAAAATATCTAATTAGGGAACTGAGCAACCCCTGGCTCGAGCGGGGGTTTCGGAGTAGGTGACTTTTTGGCGGCTGCGAGAGTAAAGCTGTCAGGACAGTTTCACTGGTGTTTAATGGGCTTTTGGAAGTGGCTGTGGAAGGAAAAGCGCAGCTGCTGTGTGGCAGGGGGAGCTCCGGGTCCCGGGAGATTTTAGAAAATAAGCTGTGTTTATAAAAAAAGAAAATAAAATATGTTAAACTGTCCCCTATACACCTGCTCTTGCCGTCTGGATCCATCATCTGGATTCAGCTGAGCTGGGCCTGGCACAGGCTGGGCCTCGGAGCCACCTCGGAGCTGTGCCCTGTCCCGGGTTTGCCAGGCACAGAGGGGGTCTGCGCTGGAGCCATGGAGCCCACCTCTGTACTGTGAAAATGCCCATTTTCAGGAACTCCCAATGAATATTTGGAGGTGCCAGACACAGAGATACCCCTGTGCACCACAGGACCAGCCCGGGGGGGGTGGTCAGGAGCTCACTGTGTGTGTCCCCAGCCAGGGAGCAGGAGGGACCCGGGGACAGCCCACACCGCAGACGGGTCTCACTCACGTGGTCGATGAGCTCCTTGATCATGCCGTTCCACTGCCCCTTCTCGTCCTGTGCCCCGTATTTCCCATCCTCCACCAGCCGGATCTCGTAGGTGAAGCCCAGGATGATGGCCAGCTCCTTCAGGAGGTCGATGCAGTAGCCCTCAAAGCGGTCATTCCCAAACAGGGCCGTGTCGGACTTTCGGAACATGACAAAGGGCTCTTCCTGCACAGGAGAAGGCAAAAAAAAGGTCCCCATTAGGGTTCAGCCGCTGTCCCAGCAGGGACAGGGCCACCCCTGTGGGTCAACCTGAGCCCCGCGGCGCAGGCTCTTCAGGCAGGGCTGGCACCGTGACATGTTGGGAATAAATTAACTTTGCACAGCACATCAGCTAATTAGCAACCTTGTTTACCCCACAAAATTTAATTTTGTCTCTTCTGAGCAGCCAACTGTTTTCCATTTGGTAAGATTTCAGGGAGGAAAAATAACCATTTCATGCTCTGAAAAATGGAGAGAGTTGAGAAACAATAAAGGGGGGGAGGGCAAATGGAACCCCCCGTCCTGCAGAGCAGTTGACCCGCTCCACAGTCCTGTCGCTCGCTGCGGCGAGAGGCTGGGGGTTCCTGGGGGGCCAGGAGCCGATGGCCAACGGTGGCCAGCCCGAAACATTCCCCAGTTGGGTTTGGTCACCTCTTGGCTGGCAGTAGCTGGTGGGACACAGGGCTCTGCTGCTGCCCAGGGAGACTTTCTGCTCCAGCTCCTCCTGCCCTGGAGCAGGGAGGGAGAGGGCGAGAGCACCTGAAGCTCCAGGGATGTAATACTAAATCAAAACCGATACCACGGCGCCGATAGAGTTGGCTTGGGACGCGCGGCTCGCTTCAATCCTGCTCTCCCTGGCCTCCTCCTCAGCTTTCTTCCCTGGAATTAGGGCTTTGTTTGTGAATCAGCTGAATCTATGGATCTTGATATAAATACACCGGCTCCAAAGCAGCCATAAAGCACTATTAATTTTGGGAAGCGCTGTAGGGATTACATACATATTTAACAGCCGAAGCACTGAACATTAGGACGCCACTCGCTTCAGTAATGTATCTCCAGGTCTCAAACATTTCCTAGGGGGTAATTCTGAACTCTGTGAACCACTTATTCACGGACTATTTCACAATTTATTACTGAAAATGGCCAGACATCCAATTCACAAGCTCTCTCGGTTTGCTAATCGATTTCTCAGTGAAGGTGCCCTCAATTTCATAACTTCACAGTTCCCATATTGCTTGGGGAGAGTGGCGCTGGCTGCTGGGGTAATATTTCTCTTCCAACAAGTCACTGCAATATGAGCAAAAGGGGAAAAAATAACCTTTTATGCTTTTGCTTTTAAAGGTTCCTCCTATGGCTTTTCTACAATCATTTACACCAGTGCAAAAGTAGAAAGGGCTGTTGCAAATGCAAATAAAATTCAGGGTTGTATTTTCTGATTAGAATCCAGTATATGAAAATGCAATTATTGCAGAACTCAGGTCTAAGTACATTTCCTCCTCCTGCAGGCAAGGGAATGGCAGGGCAGCGGTGGATTTGAGGCAGATGCCCCGTGGCACATGCACAGGCCCAAGGAAGGCACAATTAATAGGAACTGATACCACCCTTGTAGGTTATGCAGTTTGTAGATGCTCACAGAATGTGGCATGAAAATGCTGCCCAAAATACACATGTCCAAGGCAGATGGCTGACAGGGCTCCTCCTGGATCCATCATTTTGCATTATGCCCTGGCCTTTGAGGTATGGTGATTATTGCACCCCAGACCTTTCCACAGCTCTGGCCGTGCCTCCTACCCCTGACAAGATGTCTCTTTTCTGGTGTCCCTCAGTCCTGTCTGTATGGCTCTCGCTGTCCTGAACTTATCTGCTGGCCCTCAGCCCATGCGTGGTCGGGTGCTCCTCCAGCTCAGGGCAGCTCTGCTGCCGTCCCTCCAGCTTCTCCTCATCCCTCCAGCTTCTCCTCATCCCTCCAGCTTCTCCCCAGTGATGCCAGGCTCCCAATCCAGGAATTGTCTCCGACCTGTGGGCCTGAGTTCTAATTTAAGAGAGTTGGGGTAGAGGAATTACTGTGTAACTTCTGGTGTGTTTTATCCAGCCACAGAATGGGTTGAACAATTCCCTTTGAGCTATCCTGAGCCTCCACCTGGGAGTGATGCGATGTGATGTGTTATTCATGTTGCCCTAAAAATTTGCATCCCTCACGTCCTGGCACTGGCAGCACTTTAGGTTACCTTGCTAAAATGAACTAAACCTGGCATGGCAGGTCTCTCCAGTTGTTAGAAAAACACCGCTTGAATTTGTGCTTTCTGAACACACCAAGAATCCTTAATGCAAAAGAAAAGACCAGCCAAAGAAACACGGGGTGTGTATCACACCCGAGTGCACCCACGCTGCTGCCAGGGTCTCAACAGGGGTGGGCTTACAGTCTGAGGCATGTGGAACTGTTAAAGTGCCTGTTGCTTGGCCGTTTCTCTACTGCTTCTCAGGAACTCCTGACGTGATGGTTCATTTCAACAACCAAAGCCAGGGAGGAGCCATCGCTGCTACCAGCTCCGCTAACACATGGCACCGGGGCTCTGCCCTGCTGGCACCACCATTCACCATCCCGCGGCGCTGGCACGGGAGAAGACTTTTGGACTGGGAAGGGAAGGAATTCTTCAGTCTCCCCTGCATGCTGAGACATGAAAGCAGTGTGTTACTGAATGCAGTTGAAGAGCTGAGCCTGCACCTGACTTGGGAAGAGGGACTTGAGTGAAAACGTTTCATTGGAACAAATGTTGTGTGATGAATGGGAAGTTCGTTAGGAGGGGTGGCTAATTTGCAAGGAAAGCTGCTGCAGCATCCATATTTAGCTCATATTCTGCCTGCTTCCCTTCTGCTAACCCCCTGTGGAGGGACACGAGACCTTTGGTTCCAGCCCTTCTTCTGCCCTGGACCAAGTGTTCCCATTCCCTGTTCTCCTCTGGTCCTGTTCCTCTCTCAAACCCCACTCTGGTGGGTCCTGTTCTTTTGGGCAGGATGGACCTCAGGAGGGATCGCACTGCTCTGGACTGGGACTGCATCCCCAGCTGGATCTTTACCACATAAACCTTTATGCTTCCCTGAAAATATGGAACATAAAGGGCGCAAAACAATTTCCATTGGCAAAACCATAATCCAGGTCTTCCCTGTTCTCCTCTGGTCCTGTTCCTCTCTCAAACCCCACTCTGGTGGGTCCTGTTCTTTTGGGCAGGATGGACCTCAGGAGGGATCGCACTGCTCTGGACTGGGACTGCATCCCCAGCTGGATCTTTACCACATAAACCTTTATGCTTCCCTGAAAATATGGAACATAAAGGGCGCAAAACAATTTCCATTGGCAAAACCATAATCCAGGCCCAGTTGTGGGGAGTGTGTTTTTTGCGTGGGTTTTGTTGCTTCTTGGTGTCAGCCACGAGCCCGCGCTGCCTAACGCAGCCACACAGAAACCAATGGCACTAGTCATAATTCATTATCCAGTTGCGGGTAGTTTTTTGTGTTGGTTTTGTTGCTTCCCGGTGTCGGCCACGAGCCCGCGCTGCGAAACACAGCCACATAGAAACCAATGGCACTAGTCATAATTCATTAGATAGTAAATAAAAACTCATTCTGATCTGATGCCGGCCGTCAAACCCAATAGCGAACGTGAGACCGAAATGCAGCGTGACAGCAGGGAGCGGAGCAGGCCTGCTAAGCAGCCGTGGTTTGCTGGATAACGGCATTACTCTTAGCTGGGTTATCAAATATGGACTTAAGAGGGGGAAAGAAACAGGATTGTCACAGCCAAGCCGGGCCGTCTGGTTGTTCTCAGTATTTTCTCCTGGAACAAGACCACTCCTACCCGAGGAAGCAGTGCCAGCCTCTGGCAGTGCCCACCACCCGCCCGGGCACTGGGGATAAATCACAGAATCCCAGAATCTTCTAGGTTAGAAGGGACCTCAAAGATCATCTTGTCCAACCGTCAACCTAACTGACAAAAATAGACACCCACACAACAAACAAGGAACACCATCACCAAACCATACCTCCCAGCACTACATCAACCCGTCTTTTGAACACCTCCAGGGATGGTGCCTCCACCACCTCCCTGGGCAGCCCATTCCAATGTCCGAGAACCCTTTCAGTGAAAAAATTTTTCCTAATATCCAGCCCGAACCTCCCCTGGCACAACTTGAGGCCATTTCCTCTTGTCCTGTCACCTGGGACTTGAGAAAAGAGACCGACCCCCACCTCTCTACACCCTCCTTTCAGGGAGTTGTAGAGAGCAATAAGGTCTCCCCTCAGCCTCCTCTTCTCCAGGCTGGATGGGCGATTGGGAGCGTTCCAGGAGCTGAGCACACACAAAGCTCCTGCACCCACGAGGGGAGCGAGGGGTGACAGGACACCCATGGGTGGCTGCAGCGGAGGAGCTCGGCCAGGGCCAGCAGCAGCCCCTGGGCATGGGGGAGACATGCAGGCCCAGCCTGGCCGCTGGCAGCCTGCGCCGGAGCGGGTCCCCAGCGGGGTGCTGTGGGGTTTCAGAGGTACCAGATACCCCCCAGATCTGTGGGTGAAGGAAAAAGTCTTGCAGTCTCCTACCAGGAGAGTGGTGACAATCAGAGATCTGTTGCTCAGCGAGTCGGTGACGTTAGGCCCTCGTCCTTTGGAAATTTCGGTGATGTTCAAGCCGTCGGAAGGGCTCCACGCTCCCACCTGAAACCAAGCAAGAAATAACTGCATGAACACCCGGCACGTTCCTCACTTGCTCTCAGCAAACAGAGGTTGGTTCTCTCAACTACAGGAATTTCACTGAATTTCACTGAATTTTTAGAGTTGGAAGGGACCACAGAGATCATCTAGTCCAACTCCCCTGCTGAAGCAGGGTTGCCTAGAGCTAGAGCATGTTACTCAGGACTGCATCCAGGAAACAGAAGCAAAGCTCAAATTATCATCTTGTGTCACCTAAACAGAAAATTCAAATTAACCCTTTGGTAGCAGGTCACTCCAGCTGCACACACACCGTAAGCAGCCCTTACCCTGCCCTCTGATGCAGGTGTGTGAAAGGAGATGACAGTTGACTGGAATTTAGGGGCTGAATGAAGAGTTTGCAAAGGTACTGGGTAGAGCAAACAATCAGAATGTGCTGAAGACTCAACTCTGGGCAAGGATAAAGCAGAACGAAAGAAAACAAATACAAATATGAGGCCATTTTCTTTCTTTTGTGTTTCCCCACCGAAGCAAATTGGTGGGGAAAGTTAAAAATGGCCTGACCAGTTCTGCAGAGCCCTGGTGGGGACCATTCCCATCCTCTGCGCTGTGGGGAACTGTGTGGAGCTTTCTGACAGGTCCTGGAAGGTCCTGGTGGCCCCTCAGGGAAGCCCCCGTGGTGGGAGCTCTTGGTCCTGGCGGTGGATTTCCTCAGGCGTGGGCACCGGCAGCGCAGCCACCATCCTCCTCAGTCTGAGGTGCTCTGTTTTTCTCAAGCTCTCAATTTCCATAAATCATTAGACTTTGAAGAAGTCTATTGACCCAGAAATGGCAAGATCTGTCTCTCTCTAAAAAAAAACTCATCTGAGCGACTCTAAGCCTGTTAACCTGATCTCCGCGGTGCAGGGGAGGCTTCAGAACAAACTTTGAAGGCAGGAGGGGCTAAAGGACTGTGACGGTGAGATAAAATGTGGGGAAAGCTGGAGGAATGTGGGATCGCTGCCAAGAGCCGGAGCGGGGTGGCCACGCAGCCAGCCTGAGAGAGGGAAAAAAGAAAGCCCCATGTGGAAATGGGAACAGAACGATCCATCTGTAGGGTCAAACTGCGAGACAGGACTCAGAGAGAAACCAAAGGCAGACAACTCAAACCCACTGGGGAGCCAGGAACTTCCCAGGTTTTATTTATTGCTATTTTTAAGATTCTTCAACCTCTTCAGCAGTCCAAGGGGAGGACTTGGTTTTACCGCATCCCCAAAAAGAGACTTTGTAATGAGCAATGCTGCCTGGCAAAAAAAAAAAAAAAAAAAAAAAAGTAATAAATTCTAGAAGAATTTCCATGAACTTTGTGAAAGGCTCTAAATATTTCAGGTAAAACCTAAGCAATCCCCCCTGGCTCCTTCGATCGCACCAGAGCTGCCGTGTCAGGGGATTATTATTGTGCATAGGAAAAGAGAAGCAAGGCTAAGAGGCCCAGCAGCACCACAGACTCAGTTAACTCTGCCTTGCTAAGTTTTCTTTAAGAGAATTAAATACATGGCACTTAAGGCTGAATTAATCAGTTTAAAATATTAAAAAAAGGAAAGAAAAAGGAAAAAAAGGAGCGCATGAAGGGAACTGTGCAAGTCAGATAGTCAAACTACATGTAATTAGGTTTAGTTAATACTCCTGTAATCCCTGGAACATCCAGGAGGTATAAGGATCAGGAGTTCAATCCTAAAGCTCAACAAACATAAGCTATTATACATCATACACAATCCGTACGGGATTTGTTTGTAGTTTGGCGTTTTGTTATTTCAGATTAACTATTGACAGAAACCCAGCTTCAGCAGAGATTTGACATCGATACTTTAAAACCCCTCTAGAGCTGACAAGAAGCTTTCAAAAAAATAATAGTGGGAACTGTGAAATCTCTGAATTGCTGGAGACAAAAGTTGAAGGGCTGTACAGAGAATGCATCAAGGTTTGGCGGCTTCCTCTGGGCTTTATGTGACACACAATAGCAATAAATAGGGCTGGTGCCAGCTATTCTCCTGTACACCTGAGGAGTGTTAGTGTGACGGATAGATATTGCAGTTGTACTTAAACATTTAGATTCTCATGGTAACCAAATACTCGTACAGTTTTTTATTATTCTCCCAACACGGCTCTCCAGGAGAGCTGGTGCCGCTCTACTCCAAAAACACGTGTCGGATTTTTTTTTGGTTTAGACTCTATGAACAAAATATCTTGTAAAATAAGAAGTCAGGCTGCAAAGATGGTCTCTTGCTCAGTTGCTATGAGAAGGAGGCGTCTTCCCCTGCTCCCCTCTCCCCTCCTGCCTGCCCAGGCTCGGCCGATGGCAGCTGAGACTGAAGGTCACTGGGTTTATTTGAAACGTTTTCTTTATTCTATATTTGACACCAAAAAACTCTCACGAGGAGAGCGCTGTGGTGACCCTGAGATTTTTTACATGCAGCAGGGAACTCGTGCTGTGGTGTGAAAGTGTGGCGACAATTTATTTCCAAGTGAAGGAAAAACAAACTGTAAAAAAGAGGGATGGGGAAGTCGAGCTGTTTGGTCCCAGAGATCTTCACTGCGCAGGACCCGTCCCCTCCGAACCGGGGGGTGATCAAACCGCTGTCTCCAGCCTCGGGGGCTGCCTGCCTGGACTCTTTGACTCATTCCCCAGCCCCACCTGGGGACATCCTCTATGCCTGTTGGGCCACTGGCCACACGGCTAATTGGAAGGCTAATTGGAAGCCCCTCTCTGGGCTCGGGGCTGGTGTTTCCCTGGCCCCAGGGCCTGTCCCTGCCGGAGGGTGCAGGACGCGGCTCAGCCCTGGTGGCCCTGGGCATCGTGATGTGTGGAGGGGCAGATGCTGTGCCAGAAAGGGATTTACTGCCCAGTCTCTCTCCCGTAAATCCTCCAGCCACCTTTAGCAGAGCAGGGGCTCAGAATCCCTCTCAAAGGGGGGCAGGCTCCTTGAGGAGCCTGATTAGAGCAGAGCCCTGGGCACAGCTCCTGTCGGGATCAGCTCTCCCACGGGCACCACTTGCTCCTCTTCAGGCCACTCGCTGTTCTCTTTGGTCTTAAATGGACTGATCTCACCTTGAAATCCGTGTTCTAGGAGCTGTAATGCTTTGCATACTGCCTTTTGGTGTTTTTTTTTTTTTTTTTGAAAAGTAGTTGAAGAGAAGGAAATTAAATCCCCGTGAACACCTGAGAATCAGATTTGCGCATCAGCATTGTGTCCCTGTGCCCGGAGGAGATTTGCACTAATGAGGAGGATCTGAGCTTCAGCCTCTGTGCCCTGTCGCCTCTGGGTGGAATGAGACCCCTCCAGCCAGGCAAAACCACACTTCCCTTCTTTTCTTATTGTCCCTTAGATAACACAGAGAAGAACCAAACAAATACACACTGCCTCCTCCTCCTCCTCCAAAACCCAGGCTGGAACAAGCTGGTGCCATTTCCAACCCTCAGGCAGTTTTAATTGTGGGGAATCACACAGAGATGATGCTTTCAAGAGCTTTTGCCTCCTCAGGGAAAAATCAACATTTTGTAAGTGAGCCCAGCAAGATGGGGGGGGGTGGGAGGGACACGACTTTATTCCTTTCACCTTTGCCTGGGCAAGGAGAGGTTAACGCCTGCTCAGAAAGTTTTCTTCTGGTTCCACTATCCCAGGAAAGTGCCACAAGGGGTTCTGCAGCAGTCCCTGTAATCCCCCGCACCTCGCTTCAGGGCTAGTGAGTCATGGTTGAGGGGTGGAAAAGGATCTGAGAAATCCCACAAAGTAAATATCCTTTTATGTAAAAACCAGAAAACATGGAAAGAATCCAACCACCAACCATTTTCTCTATTGCCTGAGTATCAGAGTCAGAGTTAAGCCACACGCAGACAAGACAAACCCTGCCTACCTTTTCCAGACCATCTTCTTTGAGGCTGATGATATCCAGGTCAAAATCTGTCCGTAAACCGCTAGTTTTATTAAAGACAATTCGTCCCGTTAGTCCTTCCCATTGAGCCTGTGGAAGGAGAAGAAGTAGCAGGGCTGTTACTTGGCATCATAAATAATCTTTTGCCCTCCACTGTACGTTCTCTTAATTAGTCCTTATACCAGTTCTTTCTCCCCAAAGAGCATGATTAATTAATAATCCCCTCCGTCACTGTTGGGACTGCAGACAGAGCTGTAGATTTTCCCAACTCTCTTGCAGTCCTTGCTACAATTTTTGTTCGCACCTTTTGTGCTCACCAGCTGTTGCAGGACATGATGACTCAGGAGAAAACTCCTTGCATTTATCACGGCATCCTTGTGTGCTGCATTTATCCTTGTAGTGCTGATAAATACTGGGCTGCGGGGAGCCTGGGCTTGGGACAGCTCCAGTCGAGCTCATAAATAATCCTTTTTTGCACGAACCTGCTGATGCTTCCAAGGTGTGTGGAAGCTAAAATGTCCTGAGTGCTCCCCTCCTTCCTTTCGGATGGAGAGAGGAGCAGCAGCACTAAGGGCTTGTCCGTGCCAGTGGGCTCCGTTGCTCTGGAAGGGGCTGGGAATCGGGTGGGTGCTGCTGTGTGGGTTCCCTGGTTCGGTTTGGGGCAGTGTGATCCCAAAGGGGCTGGGGAAACTGGGGAAACTGTCCTGGAGATTCTCAGTGTCTGACTGGTGCAGGTCCTGCACAGCCTGGTCTGACTTGGGCGCTGGTCACAGAATCACGGAATCTTCTAGGTTGGAAGGGACCTTAAAGATCATCTTGTCCAACCGTCACCTCACTGACAAAAATAGACACCCACACAACAAACAAGGAGCATCATCACTAAACCAGACCTCAGTTTGGGGCTGGGGAAACCCCCATCCTGGAGATTCTCAGTGTCTGACTGGTCCAGGTCCTGCACAACCTGGTCTGACTTGGGTGCTGGTCCTGCTCTGAGCAGGATCTTGGGGTAACGATGTCCAGATTTGTCTCAAATACAATTACACTGTGATGCTGTGTCTTTTCCACTGTGAGCTTTGCAGCACCACCAGGATTAATCTCCCTGATTTAGGGGGCGAGAGAGCCCCAAATACCCCATGCAGGCTGCGTTAGCAGGGCAGGCACTAAGGTGGTCCTGCTCCGAGCAGGAGCTTTGGGGTAAAGATGTCCAGATTCATTTCAAATACAATTATGCTGTGATGCTGTGTCTTTTCCACTGTGAGCTTTGCAGCACCACCAGGATTAATCTCCCTGATTTAGGGGGCGAGAGAGCCCCAAATACCCCATGCAGGCTGCGTTAGCAGGGCAGGCACTAAGGGATAGGGTGGTGTTTGGTGCCTGCTCTGTCCAGGGACCACATTAGGATGTGCTGTAGCATCTTTGCCGGGGGGGTGCTGCCGGGGGGGTGTTCCCTGGGGGGTGCCAGGCGCTGACAGGGTTTGCTGCTTCGCAACCATGTCTCAGCAGTGGGGAGCTGGGACTCGGGCTGCTTCCCCTGAGCAGAGCTCCTCGCTGATGAATGGGTTTCCTTTACGGATGGGGGAGCTTGAAATATCCCAGAGTGGTGAAGGTGGCATAATGGATCCTCAGGGGGCAGCGACTGGCACGTTTCCCAGTAAATACATTCCCCTCGCTCTTCCTCATTAATTCCTGAGGAACAGCCTCCTCCCGGCCTCGCCACCCGTGAGTTTTGGGGACGGCTGTGCTCGGTTTGCTCATTGTGGCGTGGGGGTGGTTTGCCCGTGGGAGACACAGCCTGCGGAGCCCCCCGGGAGCCCGGGAAAACACGGAGTGTTTGATGTGCCCGGTGGGAGCGAACACAGCTCTGTGCAGAGCCCTGCACCTCCTGCGGGGCCACGGGCTCTGTGTGTCCCCTCACCTCCTGCCCCCATCCCTGGCCCTCTCCCCCTGCTTTCTGGGGAGCCCTGATGGCTCACGGGGGAAGGTGGCCTTCCCGGGGGTGGCAGGGCCACCATCCTGGTCCCTTGGCAAGTGGGAACAAGCAGGGCTTCCCCCCAGGAGTGGCAGCGCCGGAGCAGGGGGGGGGACACGGAGGGTGCTGGTGTTGGGGGAAGCCCAGGGGAGAGGGTGTCTGTGACGAGGCTTTGTCTTTTTGGGGGGGCAGAAAGAGCAATTGCTGTGCGTTGTGGTGGCAGTGGGGACAAAGCTCATCCCCGGGAGGAGCTGAGGTGGTGCCAGGAAGGGAAACAACAGGCAGGCACTGGAGTGTGAGGCACGGGGTAATTTGCAAAAGGAGCCAACCAGACAAATTATTTACACTCTCTTTTGGCAGCCGGCTGGAGCGGCTTTCTGCAGGAGTGAACAAAACATGGAACAGGAGAGAGAGAGAGGCAGAGAGAGGAGAGATACCATCTTCAGTGCCTATTAAGAAATAAGTTCATTCTCCCTGTGTGATGGGAATCGTTCTTCCTCCCTCCTCCCTCGCTGCAGCTCCCTGGGCTCTGGGCGCTCTCTCTGCAGGGACGTGCCTGCGTCCAGGGTCCGTGGGGTCTGCAGCAGGAATCATAGTAACGATTGACAACGTGCTTCTGCTCTTTTCTCCTTATAAACTTTAGGGGATTTTATACCCAGCCTTTTAAATATGGCATGTCTCCTGTGCTGCAGCCAGTTCCCCCGTGAAGTGCCACGGGCACGGAAGTTTTAAAAGGCCTTAGGGTAAATAAGGGCTTTTTATCACAAAGACATATCTGGTGGGTTTGCAGTATCTCCCTGCAGCTCTGCCTTCATTTTTTTTTCCTACGTGAGGGCTCCTTTTTGCAGACAGAGCAAACCCCAGGGGGGAGTGCAGGGATGTGGGGGGGTTTTTTTGGGGGGGGATCTGGCCACCTCTCCCAGTGCTGCGCTCCCTCGCAGAGCTCCCTGCTCCCAAACGCCTGCGCTCGGGGCTGTTCGCCTGCTTAGGCCAGATGCAAACAAACAATTATGTGGGCTGCACAGAGAGAAATCATAATGACTGAGAGCAGGGAGGGAAGGGAGCTGCCTCCTCAACCCCCTAGCTCCCCACTCACTAAAGCGGTGGCTCTGCCAAGGCTGCCCATGGGCACACGGGCAGTGACACACGGCGCAGCCACCGGCACCGAGCGGCACCGAGTGCCCTGCGTGGACCCTGAGCAAATGTTCCTGTAAAAGGGAAATGGCTATTGCTCCGCTCAGGAATGGCCTCGGAGACAGAGCAGTCCAGCTGCTCTTGACGCAAGCAGGGGCCAGGGCAAGTCCCAGTGACAGCATGGGGGAGTTTGGCTTGCTTTGGACGCTTTGGCGCGGCTGCACGGATGTTACTTTGAAGGCAAAGACAGGATTTTTCCTTTCTGGGTGCACTCAGAGCCTGGTGCTGCTCATCCAGTTGTACCTTCCCCGGGCAGGGGGTGTTTATACCCCTGAACTCTCCAATCCTCTCTGCCTCCTGCCTCCCACGGCTCCTGCTGGGGAAGGTTTGCCTTTAGCGGGGAGCGATTTTAGTCGCAAATCATGCTTTTACCTCTTTTATAAAATTCATGAAGCGGCCACCAAACCTCCAGGCTTTGTGGCGGTGGCACTGCAGGGAGTTGACGGTCATCTGAGGGGCGCGCTGGTAGCAGACAGAGACCACGTGCACGGCGTCGTACAGCAGGGCAGCGTCTGTCTAAACACAGGGGAACAGCGTGCGTGTCGGTAGCCGTCCCAGAGCAAGGAACATTGGGCTGGCAAAGCAGCGGGGTGTCCCTAAAGTGTGGCAGGAGAAGCTGCAAGAACCCCCTCTGAGTTACCCCCTGCCCAACACCCCTGAGACCCAAGGGTCTCTCTGTCCTGGTCCCCTCTCCACCATCCCACCCCCGGGTGTCCCACCCAGCACCCAAAGGAATGGCTGGGCTCTCAGAGACCCCTGGGTCTCCAGAAATGGTGTAAACGCCTGTGCTTTAACACGGGGCTTGTCTAAACCTCCGGGTGACCCCTCATCCAAAATACATCCCCAGGACCCAGAGCTCTGCACGTGATAAAGCCTCAGCAGAGATGGGGAAAATGTCATTTCTCTGTGTGCATCTGTTCCCTTTCTGGGGCACGTACGACTGTATTGTCAAAGAAGGCAGTTCGCTATTTCTAAATGCAGAAGATAGTAACAAAATTTTCTTATTTAGTCTGCTTTGTCTGAGTGTAAAAAAAGCCTCTATGAGAACATATAGTCCATGCTATTTTGTACATGGGGAAATAAGAAACAGAGAAGTTAAACGGCTTGTCCCTGGGCATGGAATTTTCCAATACGACCCAAACTGTCACTGAAATCAGGACCTCACAGATTTGTAACATCTTCCCACATTTCAGTGATTTGAACTAGGGAGAACTTCTTTTTTTGTTCCGTATAATGTGATGGTTTTAGATTCAATTTGAGATGCCCCATCTCATCTCCAAACACTGATCAAAAGAATTGGATTTGTTTTTCACTCCGATATGGTCAGTCCTTCTAGTGAAAATACATTACTCGTCGGCTTCACAGAGCTACAAACCAGATGTGAGTGTAGCGGCAGCATATAAAACACAATCAAACGCAATAATACAGCAAATAACTGGGCAAATATCTAACAGGACGTGGCCGTGGAGAAAATCCTGCAGCATTGACAGCCCTGCCCGTGACCTTGCCCTCCTGCAGCACCCTGGCACGAAGAGCAGGGACCCGACCCGTGTCCCGTGGGCTTGTGCTCGTGGGTACAGGAACGTCTCCCAGTGATTTCAGGGTGAAATGAGGATGATGGGGCCCTCCTCCAAGGAAAAATAAAGAGGAGGGATACGAGGAGCCGTTTCAAGGTGAAAGTCTGGGAGGCTTTGCCACTTGTGGGGGGGTTTCTGGCAGATCTGAAGGGAGAGGGAAGGAAGGAGCCAGTCAGCAGTTCTGGGGGTCGGGGACAGCCTGGCGGGGGGCACAGATGGGCGAGCAGGTGCCGTACCTTCCGAGCAGGAGCTCAGCGGAGCAGAGCTGCCATCAGACCCTAAAGGAGTCATCAAAGCTGCAGCAAACCCCATCTCTGGGCATGCCTTTGGCTCTTTTTCCCTGCATGGATCCCAGGGAATCGCCTGGCCCAGTCCCACCGAGTGCTGGGCTCCCAGTGCCCGGGAACTGGGGCTGGGCTGCTCTGGGGGCTGCGGGGACATGGTGGCATCTTCTCACTGGCAGAAGGGAGGGGAGGGAAGGGACATGCTCTCTCAAAACAGGCAAATCCGTGGCAGCTGGGCCTGCAAAAGGTGGGAGTTAACCCAGGAGGGGGGTTCAGGGCATCCGCCAGCGGCACTCGCTGTCCTTGAGGGGCGGTTATTAAAGAATTCAAGTAGCCACCTTGGAAAAGGCACCTGGGATGAGTTGTCACTGGGATGACAACCAATTACGGTAACACTTAGCCCTTAATGAACATTCCTGCCTTCCCCTTCCGCCCCGGTCTGCCCCCCAGACTTCCCCCGTGCTGTGTTTAAACTTCTCGTACCATCATCACGCCGTCCAGCAGCCCCAGCTCCGCCTTGGGCGCCGACTGCAGCCGCTCCATGGACCACTTCTCGATGATGGAGGATACGTGCGGGTTCTCCACGTTGAGGATCCGGAAGCCGGTCAGGTTCACCCCAGAGTAGCGATATGGTTCTAGGTCTAATGCATAAAGATCCTTAAAAGAGAGAAACTAGTTTAAACATTTTGTTTAGCTTTGCTCTGTTTGTCTTTGCTGCATCGGCTCACGTCTGTGTTTGAGGTAGGCAGGCAGGAGGGTGCCCTCCTGAGCTGGGGGGGCTGTGCTGTCTGGTGCCACCAGGCGCTGCCTGCAGGGTCTTGAAGGGGTGGGAGAACTCGGGTGTTGTATGGGCAGGTTCACCCACCCAGGACACGACCACGTGTCGTACGGGCAGGTTCACCCATGCGCCGCAGAGGGAAACTCCTGCCAAAGAACTCGCTCTCTGCATAAAGGAGGCAAGTGGATTGTGGGGGAGAAAACCAGAATCGCTCTCTCTTAACTGTCAAAACAGAGGCTTGTGACCAAGGAGGGGGACACACGGCAGAGCTCCTGTCGCCGAAGCTCCTGGGGGCCTTTCCGAGGAGAATTCGCTGTGAGTGCCGAAGCCCGCAGGGTGCTGCGGGTGACAGAGCAGCTCTGAATGCAGAATGCCAATTTGCAGACGGCTCTCAGAGAGGAACTAAGACGCATTTCTTGACATTATGACCAGCCTACACAGTCTGCAAGTGAATGAGAGTGCCCTTTATCCGATTTACCAGCCCTAGGGGGGGAGTGGGGGGGCAGTCCCGGGCTCTGCTGGCAGCCAGCCCGCCGGCAGCGCTTGGCAGCAGCCAGGGGGATGTGGAGGCCTCTGCGCTTCTTTAATGCATCTCTTGGCTCCGCTGCACGTCTAAATATTAACTTCAGCTCAGGGATTAACTTCAGTGCTCAGTGACTGGTGGAGCAGCCTGGGGTCGGGCGGCAGGGGAGAGCATGAGCTGAGCTGCTCTGCACAACCCGGGGCAGCTGAGCTGGGGGGGGTCATCTGTGAACGTGGTGGGGAATGGCAGTTGGGTGAGGATGCCCTCTTAATGGGAGTCATTCCTTGGATGGGACATATTTCATCAGAGTTTATCCTGAGTAATGGCTGCAAGTGATCAATGGCAGTAAAAATGTGGGGAGGCAGAAAGGCAGTGCCACTGTCTTCTGTGATAGAGGGTGGGAGTGAATGTGGGAATGATGCTCGTTGCTCTTACAAGGGATTACAAAAAAAAGAGTTTAAAAACAGCGTGGTATGATCTGGCTGTTGGTGTTTTGCATAAGGTGGCCATACTGGTAGGACACAGCCACACCATGGGGTCACCCAGACACAGCCTCTGCCAGCAGCGAGCTCTGATCTGCCCACGGTGGGGCTGGAAAAGCACTGGTCCTAAAACACTGCCCTCAGCAAAGCACAGCAGAGCCAGCTCTTCCCAGCGACCGAGACTCCATTCGCAGTGGGAGAGCCACGAATTCTTACAGCTGTTTTGTTTTAATAAGCTTTGGGGGTTTGATCTTTTCCTTAAGTGCTGGCCTCTGACTTCCCCCCCCCCAGACGTGCTGCTGATGGATGCCACGTTTTCAGCTGCAGGTGCAGCCGGGGACCGAGCCATTAATCACACCCACTACAGAGCCCAGGGGCTGTGGTGTTTGGCTGTTGGGTTTTTTTTCCCTGAAAAATCGCAAGTACAAACCTCTACCTTTTTGTTAAAGGGCATTGTGAAAACCAGGCCATAATGTTGACTTTTAAATGACTTACGGTGACTAAGGGCAAATACTGTTGTTTAACTCAGACAGATGCTTATATCCCCTGGATGGAGAGGGATCCCGGCTGGGGGGCTGTCACTGGGAGGAGTGGCCGTGGCTGTACTGGGAGGTGTGTGTGTGTCCAGTGCTGCTGGAATAGCAATCCCTGATGTCCTCGGTCACGAGCACACTCGTGTCGTGTCACGAGCCCCAGGTACACTGAGTTTAACCAGAATGCCTGACTCAGCACTCGTGAGGAGCTGGACTGGTTGGGTTTGGTCACTCACGGGGAGAGGGGAGGGTGGTGTGTAATTGCTGGTTGCTCAAGACCTGGGATGAGGTTCCTGGTTCTTCCCCCCCCGTAACTGCTGTGAGGGGCAGAAGTGACAGCAGGCGCTGGGGAAACGCCTGTGTTTGCAAGGACTCATGTTCACAAGCTGCTGAGAAACTCCTGGAAGTGCTGAGTGTCAGGGGGCTGTCGCTGCCTGGGACTTTGGAGGGTGTAAAATCTGTGTGTGCGTTAGGCTGAGGCTGGGAAGGCTCCCTCCTCCTCCTCCTCCTCCTCCTCCACTGTAGAAAAGGCTGATGGGGCTCTTCATGCTGAAGTCAGTGAACTGTAGTCTTGCTGCCTAGCAAAATGTTGAAGCGTTTCATGCCAAGTGTTGATACACTGTGCTCGGTATTGACTGGGGACCTTTTAGAAACATTCAGTATAACATAATAGACTAATTCATTAGCACCCCATGGGTCTAGTACCGCAGAAGCCGAAGCACATGCATTGCAAGCTAGGAAAACATTGCCTTAAGGAATGACAGATTAAAATATCTTTCCCATGATATAACTGTTATTTCAGGAAAGTGGCATTAATTGTGATTGCTTATCTATTAATTTATTATAATTCTTCTTTTCCCACCTCCAGGCTGTACCTACACATGAAATGTACTCTAGGCTCAGCTGGGGCTGATTAATAGGAGGTTATCTGGGAAATGCTTAAAGCTGCCTGGAATAGATAATGGCAGCAGGGGTAATTAAAATGTCTTTTGCATTTGAAAAATAAATTTTGCAGTTTTTAAGGGTTAGTTTAGTCTGTTTCTTTCCTAAAGGCAAAAAGATAAATTGGATTTTCAAAATCACACAAAAATTCAACAGTAAATCAGACAATAGCATCCTAAATGGAAACACAAGCGGGGCACGCCAGAAAACCCAAACCAAAACGCCTCCTGGAGTCAGAGAAGAACTGGCCCGTGTTTAATGGGAGTGGAGTTAATTTCAAGCCGAGCTCTTCTCATGCAAAATAAACCTGCGGCAGGAGCTCCTGAGGCAGCGGGGCTGCTCCCGCGGAGCACGAGGTGAACACTCGGAAACACACACCCTGTTGGTGCTGTCTGCGGGACTGCAGCCTCCCAAAATCACACACACGCTCCTCTGCCAGCGCCTGGGAGATCAAAATGACTGGGGGGGGCAATAAAACCAGAAGCCACATCTGTGCAAAGGCGGAGCGAGGACCCCGTCCACGGGCAGCCGCGGCAAAGACTGACGTCCCTTGGAACAGCAACGCCGCAGTTCAGAGATGCTACAGCCACGTCAGTGTGGGTGATTCTAACCCAAATCTAACTCCAGCCCCGCTCTCGCCTTCTCTCAGGGTCCCCTTTCCCCTGCTCTTCCCACCCCACCGCCTTCCTGCCCTGCAGCTCTGATGAGCGACCCCAGCCCCGCTCTCTTGCCTCCCCCTCCCCAGCCGGCTCTGCAGCGGGGGGTGACAGTGTCTGCACAGAGGAGATACTTTACCAGAGTGGTGAAGATGAAGTGGTAGTATTCTGTCATCATTCCCATTGCCATGGCCTTGGGGAGAGCAGGGAAAGGAGGTTAGTAAGAGCGGATACAGGAATATAACAACAGTCACACAACATAAGGCTCACTGCTGTCGGCACGACTGGGAGAAAGGGGTTGTCTTTCCTTCCCAGACACAATGAACAACCTTACATCAGCCTGTGCAGAATGACCAGAAAGCAGCCTGTCCGTATGGTTACCAGCCCATGTACTGGCTAAGAAGTGAAGGAAAAGGCTTTTTATTTCTTACATGTGTATTTCTGGTGCTCTGCATCCCCTCCCCTCCAGTGTCTGTTTGTATAATGGTGCATACAGCTCCTGTCTGTGTGTCCCTCCTTCCTGCACACTACAGCCGGACCCTAACGTGGTGCCTGGTTTAGAAATGGGTCAGTAAAAGCAGAGGCAGAGGGATGGGGAGTGGGAACATCTCCTGTCCCTCAGCCCTGGGAGATGGTGGGCCAGCCCCGAGAGCTGTTGGCCAGCCCCAACACGGAGGATGGGTTGTGCAGATTGCTGGGATCTGCATAACTGAGCAGTGGAGAGAACATGCTGTTCAGTGAGGTCTGGCAGAGGGACCGCGGGCTGAAGGGACCTTGGATGGACAACCTTGTCCAGACTCTACACAACATGAGGGGAACACGGCTCCATCCATGAGGAGGGTCACCTTGGAGCTGGTGGCTGGCTAAGGGGAAGAGACACCCGCAATTTTGGCTGCCATGCTGACTCTGAGAGCATGTTTTCCGGAGAAAACATGCAAGAGAACTTTAAAATCTCCACTGACGGGAAAGAGACTTCAGGTTCCCCCAGGAAATGTTTCCTTCCCTTGGTTCTTGCTAAAATTACTGGGGCGGAATTTAGCTCCGAGGAAGGAAGTGACAGTTTGAAAAGAAGTGAGATGGCAAAAAAGAAGGGAAAAGGAAAGGAACTAGATTACAAGGCTTGATACTGTAACTCCAGAGCGTAACTTTATCCCACGTTTTCTGGCCTGGGAATGCTCTTGGGAAGCCTGGCAGCTGCCTGTGTGGAATGTGCCACCCTGTCCCCCTGTCCTGCCTGGCCCCTGGGGCTGTGGGGTGCAGCTCCCCCAACCTCTCCCCAGGAGCAGTGGGGAGCAGTATCTCAGTGTGAGGCATCAATCAGATGATGTGAAACCAATCAAGAGTCAATCAAGAGGTTCCAGCTCTGGTTCTGCAGCCGGATGGGTGGCAGATGGAAAGCCCAGAGCTGCTGTGAGGAGTGAGCCCCGGGTTCCCAGAGCTGGCAGCCTGTGTGCGGGGTACAGCTGGGGTGTGGGGAGATGAGTAAATGATAAACCTGGTGGATAAGCTCCAGGCAATGGCCAGGATGGGAACTGGGAGCTCCATTAAAGTGGAGACAGGCACATCTGTGCGCTGCAGAGCCCAGCAACTGTTCAGAGGCAGCTGCCAGGAGAGGAGAGGAGCTGGGAAGGCAGAGAACAGATGTAAGGCCTGAACAAGTTACCAAAAATGAGCGAGGCTGGAGAAGCTGGGGTAGGACGGGAGGTCCTCACGAACAGGCCTAGCTATCTGATAGGTTTCTACGATGATTTGTTTTCCAAGAGGTAAAATAATGAATGGTTTGATGTCTGAGTCGCTCCAAGGAACACAGACTGGAGCAATATGGGGCAATGTCATCTCTGCATCTCTGTGCCAGCTCTTGTGTTGTTATTCATGGATTACTAACCCATGAGGCTTTTTTACTAATCCAGTTTAAAAAAGCTGCCCAGATTATCAGAGAGTTGCCTTTCTGCTGTGGGAGCGTGGGACCTGAAATACCCTGGGAGCAGGACGTGGGCTGGCTGGATGCTGTGTGCTTGCCCAGGGCTACCTCGGGCTGGAGCTGCTCAAACCCTTTGATGTCACCTGAAATGCCCAGTTAAAATCAGCACCAAGGGGTGGAAATTTGAGCATGAGTCCAGAGAGACATCTTGTGTGTGCATTTCTTGATATGGGTAGAAAAATTGGGAAAAGATGAGGTTTCTGAGCTTCCTAATTCTCCAGAGAGATGGGAGGGTCGCAGTGCTCAGAGCCCCCCCACTGCCACACACTGGTGTGTGGAGTGTGCAGGGGCTGGTCAGGGGATGGTGTGGGTTTGTGAGCCTGACCAAACTCTGAAAATATTTAACAGTTTTTTTCCTGAGTAAAAATACACTACGTAATATTGCTAAGCTGAAATCCGTAGCTTTGGGTCCTGAAAAAAGCCCAACACACAGACAAAAAGCAGCCAGAAGGACTCAGAAAGACTTCTTTCCCTCCAGTCCCCCCTCTCCTCCATCTTCCTCACTCTGCACTCGCAGCGATGAGCAGAGCAGATGGCACAATAAACTATAATAAACTGCATAATAAGTGAACGGCACCAAACACAGCCAGCATGTTAAAATAATAGGCAGGAGACAATGAGTCCCATATATTGCTTTCTGTAATAATCCCTCCCAGGCTTTCTGATTTCTCTGAGCACTTCCCTTCATTTTACATCAAGCAGGCTGCAAGAGAAGTCGCTTTCCATGTGCTTGCTTTCTCAGCCCTTCAGGGGATTTATTTAATCTATGTGGTAGTGTCTTGCTGGGCTGATATGTGCAGCACTTCCACCAGCTGGTTTTCAGCATCCTTTGTGAGAGCGTTTTCCTCTGCCTCATATTGACCCTGAGACCTAAAGGCACTTGGAAATGAGGAGCTGGGGTGAGCAGCAAACCTTCTGGTCTGCGAAAAATGCCAGTGGAGGAACTCGGGGAGAAAGGAGAGAGACCAAATGAATGGAAAATCACTGACATCTGGCTTAAAGTCCAAGAATTGCACATGGAGCTCAGGAGGGGACAGCAGACACCGTCCCTGCCCGCTGGCCCGGGGCTGGCTGATGGCAGCGAGATACCGGACTCTGGGCAGCTCGGAAATAGTGAACCAAAACACAGAGGTTTATACCCTGCCCTGCCTGGGGATGTAGAACCAAACCCAGGGGTATGGAGCAGCACAGGGGGGAAAGCAGATATTTGAAACTGGGAAGTGTGGGCAGCTGGTACTGAGCGGTGACAGCGGTGGCACGGACAGCCCTGCTCTGGGTGGAGAAGAGGGACAACAGCCCATCACGTCTGCTCCCGTGACGTTTGTTCGTTTTGTGATACTTCCAGTCTTTCAATGAAAACTACGTTTTCTACAGAAATCCGATTGCATCCTTGAAGAACATAGAATCATAGAATCATAGAATTGCCCAGGCCAGGGACCTCCAAAGGCCATCTAGTCCGACCCCCCCGCAGTCAGCAGGGACACCCCCAACTAGACCAGGTTGCCCAGGGCCTCGTTGAGCCTCTCCTTGAATATCTCCAGAGAAGGGGCCTCAACCACCTCCCTGGGCAACCTGTTCCAGTGCTCCACCACCCTCCCAGTGAAGACATGCAGTAGCTCTTAATGCAGCTGTGGGCTGTGGACAGAGGGGAAGCTGAGGGTCTGCACCCCCGTCTGTGGGGCTCTTCCTACAGTACGGCCACCCCGTACGCCCTCGGGGGCCACTTCTCCTTGGCCCCCCCATGGCCCCCACTCACCTGCTTGAGGATCTGAGCCGCCATCAGGTGGCTGCAGTCGAAGATGATGCGGAATTCCCTGCCCCGCTTCATCTCCTTCAGCAGTGGCCGCGCGTCGTCGGTGTCCAGCGGGAGCTGGCGGATCTTCAGGCGGATGTTGTACCTCGATGGGGCCATGATGAGCTCTTGCAGCCGAATGAGCCCTTCAGGCATTGCACAAAGACAAACCCACCGTGTCACAGAGGACTCTGCCTTTCCCCGCAGGCTGGGCAGCACAGAAACTTATTTCTTCCTACATTATTTAAGGGAACACCATCCAGGCTTTCCTCCCTCCTGCAAATGGCCGGTGCTAAAGGCGTATCAAAACCAAGGCTTCCTGTGTCAAAACCCCAGGTATTTCCAGAGCGGTGGTTCAGGGCAGGGGGGCTTCTCCTGGTGTTTCCCTGCAGCCCCCACACCCCCCGTGGCACAGCTCTGCACCAGGCAGGTCCTAACCTTTGACATCACTGGGATCACGACATATTTTCTTAAGCAAATGTGCCCTTGAGAAAGGACGGAGTGTGATAATCAGCTATGCAACAAATTAAAATCTGCGGTATTTACCATGCACAGCAGCTGAAGGAAAAAAATGAATCTGGGCTTAGATTTATGAATGGCAAAGCTTATAATGGTCACTTAATCACAACTCGTAACTTTCTTACTACCCTTAGAATTCATTTCTTTTCAATGCAGAAGGCACAAAGCCGTGCTGGAGGCAGCTGAGCAGGAATTATTGGTATCTACTGTTGCAAGAAGAAACTCAGCAGATGCCTATTGCAAGGAGGAAAAGGGAAGCATGTCCCTCTGCATAGTGGAAGAAATACGTTAGAATATGCCACGAAGGGAACATACTGTGACCCACATTTGCAAAACAGGGATGTCAAACTGTGTTCTCATCAGCCCTCCCCTAAAGAAACCATTTGGTTTAGTGGAATTAGGTTGGACAGGCCATCCAATGTGTCTTTTGTTTTGGGGGTTTTTTTATCTATAATGCTGTGCAGTGCTTTGCTTTGTTTCACTGTCAACAGCTTGCTTTATGTGAAAAACTTTCTCAGCTATATTTTATAGAATTAGCCAGAAAACAAAAAACTTTCCAGAACTACTTTTGCTTTTAGCTGGGAAACTGCACCCTCAATGGCAGCTGCAGACCTGGGTCCTGTGCAGACGGGCACCACGCTGCCAAATCTGGCCGGGCTGAGCCAGAGCACCCCAGCAGACAATGAATCCCCCCTGGACCCTCTGCGGGTGGGAGGGTGCTGAGGGTCCCCCCTTCCTACGTGCTTTGTGAGCTAAATGCTCCAGAGAGGTCCCAGAGCCTTCTACAGCTCTCGCCTCAACGCTGGGGAACCGGTGTGTCCCCGCACACTGATTGCTGCATGGGGGTCATTTTGCTCCTAAAAGGGTTTGTTAGAAAGTTCCTAAATGGGACCCACAACAAATAATCCCCTGGATTCCTCCCTGAAAGCCCCTCCTTTCCCTACCTGTGCTGTCGTCGTAAACCACGGTGGCCGACCTCCACTTCAGATACTGCACGAGGTCCAGGATGGCATGGCTAAGGGAGGCGTAGTCGGGGTACAGGTTGACATAGAAAGTGTCCTTGTTATCCAAAGGGTGGTGCTTCCATCGAAGCTGGATGTGGGGGACTTCCAGGGCGTTGCAGATAGACTGGACGGCGTTGGTACAGGAGCCTTGGGAAGGTCCAAATATTGCTACGACCCCCAGAGCGAGCTGGTCACAGGCTGGAAGAGGAAGAGGAGGGAAGGGAAGGATGCGGTCAGTGCCGTCTGGGGAGGGAGGAAGGATGCTGTCATTGCTGTAACAGGGCACTGCTGCAGGAGAGGGGGTCATCAGGACAGCCTGACCCACACCATGGGGCAGCAGACAGACAGACAAGCTTCTGGGCATTAACAGCAGCGTAGATATTAGGTAATTCCATCAGTGAAGAGGAGGAATTCCAGCAGGCGGGGGTCTGGACCGGTGGTTAGAGGCACAGGGGTGTTTCCAGAGGAGGGAACAATGGCTGGGGTGTGTTAGAAGAAAATTTCTGCACTAGGGATGTTAAAACTGCCAGGGATAGACTCAAATAAACAAAGGCCTGGCCTACAGACCTGTGCTCAGGATTAGAAGCAAACACTGAGAGGAGTTTGGTGAGGCTTGCAGAGGAAAAAAAGCATAGTTGTTCCCCTTATATTAAAAAGCCTCCGGAAGGTCAGCTCCTGGAGGACTTCTCATCTCCATCACTGACTGGAGCAGGACAAAATGAGCTGCCGGGTCTCAAGTCAAACCATGCCTTTTTTAATGACTAAATGGCCACAAAGTGGCTAAGTGTGCTGTGCTCTTACCTTTCTTAGTTGCTTCAAAGCTGTCGTGGAAGTGTATCCGCTGAATGTCGTAGGTTAGGGTTGTGTTAGGCAACAAAGTTCTGTTTCTATTTATAATATTGGCAGAAAATCTGAAGGCTTGCTCCTCAGCACTCATAACCTGGGTATTGGGGCCATCTGCGTACTCAAAGATTCCTCCTGCAAGACAGGACAAAACCAGCATTAAAGCCACAGAAAGTTTGATTATTAACCTTGTGTAGCAAGGATGAGAAAACTGTCAGACAGAGCTGTGGCGTTTGCAGGCTGGACGGGGCTTGTTCCCAGGACATTTCCTGGACTGAAATAAAACGAAAACGTTTGGGTTTTTGTCAGATGCTGGTCCATGAAGGCATTCAGAATACCAGCTTAACAGGGGTCAAGTTTAAAGTCTTGGAATGCGTTTATGAGAGAGATGAGTGGCTTCCTATAGAACTTTGGGGGCAGACCATGGGGAGGGGGGGCAGGGTTATGGCCCAGGGATGCTCCAGGTCTGGGCTCTGCGGAGTCACTGCGGTACGGAGCCGGCACTGCCCTTCCCTCCAGGGACACCCACCTCCCAAACCCTTCTCCCTGTCCTGGGCTGGGAGGCAAGCAGTGCAGTGCTGCTCCTTGCTATTTTTAGTGCCACTTTTAGTGCCCTTCTCATCTTTTATTGTTCCTCGTGTTAGCCAAGTTCTTAATTCAGCCCAGCAGAGACTGCTGAATTTGCCTCCCCTCCAGCTCATCTGCTCAATAATGCACATGGTGAAGGCACGCTCGCCCGTGTTCAGAAGTTGTTAATGCCATTACACCTCCCCAAGGGCAGCAAGCTCATGTCCCAGTATCGCTGGGTTTCTTGGCTCTGTATCTGTGAGTCTTGTCCCCGGATCCCCACTGACAGCAGCTCTAATTGAAGTGACTCGGTGCAGGAGTAAATTATGGAATTGCATGTCCTTGTCTCCGAGATGTCGGCACCGTCCTGCGCCCCAACAGAACCACCGAAAGACACAGAAACCTCGCTCTATCTTATTAAAAAGTAAATCAAAATAATTAATGGATGAGCCAGATAAGCAAGCGCAATTGGTAACAGATGGTCTCTGGGTTCATTAGCAGAAGGAAAATCTTCCTCTTCAATTTAAGGTGGACCTAAATGTTTTGTTATAGACACCAGATGTCTTCTCAGCCCTCCTAGTTTTCAAGCAACTGCATGAATCCTCCTCCAGGAGCCAGAGCACATTCTCTATGGGGTTTGTGGCGATTTGGTGTAAAACATGCTACTTTGCAAGAGCCAAGCTGACCTTTCCATCTGCACTGCCCCCCAGGAACCCTCCCAGGAACCTGACCCTGAGCAAGCCATGGTAGCCCTGCTTGGAGATGTTCCTGGTGAGGGCACAGAGGGAGCTGCAGAAGGCTCTGACTTTTGCTCAGAAAGCTCTGGCTTCTGCTCCCCATGAGGGTGGTGAGTCACTGCCCTCCTCCCACAGCCTGTGTCCCCAGTTGTACAGTGCCTTTGGTGATTAATTTACATTCATAAACATCTAAAAATGTTTGAGCTGTTCATCGCATGTCTCTGGCAGAAACAAATATTACTGATCTCAGTAATAACTTGGGTAATAGGGGGGAATAAAGAAAAAGATAGGTGGACCTGCTCTGGCAGGGGGTTGGACTGGATGATCTCCAGAGGTCCCTTCCAACCCCATGTGATCCTGTGACTCTGTGTGAATGCTCACTCTGGAGACCCATTTCAATCCCACACGGTCTGCAAGCACGTCGCTTATCCCAGGTTTTCAGTGTAGAGTGTAGCAAAACTGGCCAAGTGCCTCATTCTCACTGGATCCTGCCAAAGCATTTGGTTACTGACCGGTGCAAGGAAAATCACTCATCCATCTCGAGGTCTGCACATGCTGGTAGCTCAGTCTGAGTTTGTTAGGGCAGAGAGAGTTCGCACACAACATAACAGCAGAAACAATAAACCAAACTAAAGTGAGCATGAGATTCATCCTTGTCTCTCTGTTGAAAGCTTTACCGTCCAGAACATTTTAGCAAAGGATTTCTTGTTTTCTAGCATCATCCTGAAGTGATAACTGGGTTGATGTTACATTGATTATCAACTCACTGACATTAGGCTCTCTCCCAGCCCAGAGCTTTCAAGGTTGCTTTGGAGCATGTCTTATTATGACAGAATGTAGGACTGGGTATGTGGATTATTGGTGTTTGATCCCAAATAAATTCATATTCCAGACATCCAACTGGAAATAACAGGCTTTTTGACAGGGAAGAATTTTCTGTGCAGCCACCCAATGCCTCGAGCGTGGTGCCAGGCGGCGAGGAGGCAGAGAGGCAGGAGGGATGTGTTCCTGGGGGTGCTGAATACATGGGGAGGATGTGAGAGCTCCTGCAGTTGCCAAGGTGTTGAAGAGCAGCCACTGCATGTCCCAGCCTGCTCTTTCCTGGGGACCTGGGGGCCGGGGAGCCTTGATGCAGGTCTGTAGCCGGGGGGGCTGAGCGCGGCCCCTGGCACCTCCCGCTCCCTCTTGGCTCCTGCGCCTCTCCTTCAGAGATGTTCATCCCCATCATTATTTAAAGAGCCTAATAACCGGCTTGGAACAGCTGATTAATGCATAATCTTCATCATGATTACATAGCATAACTGGCATTAATTTGAAAAGCCGGCTAATTATGAAAATAATTGTTGCAGCTTTTTCATTTGAACAAAATGGAGAGTGTCAGCCCCGTGCTATTGAGAGAATGAGGGATGTGACATCAGAGGGCTGATCCCCGGGCTGGGGGGACCCCCGTGTCCCCCACACCCCTCAGTGGGAGAGATGAAGCCGTGCAAAGCTGGGCAACCTGCTGGAAAGGGACAGGACAGACGGACAGAGGGATGGCACAGGGGCCTTCCCACACTCACCTCACCCTGACGCTGCTCTTAGAACAGTACAGAAAGTCAACGGGCTGTAAAATCAACAACAGAATAGTTTCTACTGTTATATGCTACCTAGAAGCAAGTTTCATCCCAGACAGTAAAACTAAATGTCCTTTAGTGTTGCTGTCTGTCACTGAACCACTCTCCACTGAACCTCCTCCCTATTTTTTACGATATTTCAAATGTCTTAGAGATCAGTTGATGCAACTCCCTTGGCCTGGTGCTAACAACCTTTTCCCAGTATTTCTCTGTTTGTTCAGGTCCCAGCTTCCCCTTCCTCCCTTCTTTCAGAGAGAAGTGGCTGCGGGGGGGCTGCGGGCAGGGACGGTGCTGGTCCCTTGCCCGGTGGATGCAGCCCTGGAGCCCCTGCTGCAGCCCCGTGCCTTGTTCAGCACACACGCAGGTTTGACAACATCAGGTTGTGTTTGTTTGTGTACATTTCTCCCTGAAAACCTGCTTTTTATGCTGTCTTTGTACGGCCTTCGGTGCGGTGGGATCCGGGTCTGCAATGAACCTTCAGCACAAACTGTCCATTCTTTTAGAGAGTAGTGGCTGCGGGGGGGCTGCGGGCAGGGACGGTGCTGGTCCCTTGCCCGGTGGATGCAGCCCTGGAGCCCCTGCTGCAGCCCCGTGCCTTGTTCAGCACACACGGAGGTTTGACAACATCAGGTTGTGTTTGTTTGTGTACATTTCTCCCTGAAAACCTGCTTTTTATGCTGTCTTTGTACGGCCTTCGGTGCGGTGGGATCCGGGTCTGCAATGAACCTTCAGCACAAACTGTCCACATTCTCTCAGGCGGGACAGGATCAAACACTGTCAACTGTTATCTCTTAATTTTACATATTTTTTTATGGAGTCATCCATTATTACATCTGACTTAGTGGGTTTTAAATATCAGTCACCAGACAGGTTAAATAATGGCTCAGTTGCCTTTTACCTTTAAAGCAGGCTAATTGCTCTCCACAGAATGTCAATCCGCAAATGAGAAAACACTCTAATTAGAGTCAACTTCCCATCTTATTATTTTATATTGTTTTATTTGATGACCACTGGCGTTGCTGCTGAGGTGTTGGGGGGGTTAAAAATTCAAAATGAGAATCCAAAGCAAATGCCTGACACTCTTGCTTTCACCCCAGCCCAGCAGAGTGGTACCAGGGCAGCCCCGGGAGCAGCCCCCGCAGCACGAGGAGGGGGGTTTTGCTGCGAAGCCCAGAGGAGCTCACTCCTACTGAGTCGCAGAGAATTAGAATCATAGAATCATAGAATTGTCCAGGTTGGAAGAGACCCTTGGGATCATCGAGTCCAACCATCTCCCCTACTCTACAAAGTCCTCCCCTACACCATGTCCCTCAGCACTGCATCTAAACGGCCCTTAAACACAGCCAGGGATGGGGACTCCACCCCCTCCCTGGGCAGCCTGTTCCAATGCCCGACCACTCTTTGGGTGAAAAATTCCTTCCTAATGTTCAATCTAAACCTCCCCTGTTGGAGCTTGAAGCCGTTCCCTCTCGTTCTGTCACTAATTACCTGTGAGAAGAGACCAGCACCAACCTCTCTACAGTGTCCTTTCACGAAGTTGTAGAGAGTGATGAGGTCTCCCCTCAGCCTCCTCTTCCTCAGACTAAACAGTCCCAACTCCCTCAGCCGCTCCTCATATGATTTGTTTTCCAGCCCCCTCACCAGCTTCGTTGCCCTCCTGTGCACTCGCTCCAGCACCTCGAGATCTCTCTTGTATTGAGGTGCCCAAAACTGAATCCCATGAAACACCCCAAATCCCACTGATGTCCATCAGAACAGGTCCAGCTCCGTTTGCAGCAAGCGGAGAGGCGCTGCCCTCCTGCCATCCCCGGGAGCTGAGGCTGGAAGAGCTTTGGGAGAGCCCCAGGTGGGAGCCAGAACAAAGTGGGGTCAATGGGACTGGAATCCTTTTCCTGAGCTCCTGCTCTCCCGAGCTGCGGCTGCGCAGGCTGGACGCCACCGGGGTTATTTTTAGCTTTGTCGAAAAGCTAAGTCAAGAGAGTCAAAGTATTTTAAGTTTTTGCTTTCTCCCCTCTTCCCCTTTTTAACAAAACAAACAGCTTCATTCTCGGAGAGAATATTCCAACAGCCCTCAGTGTGCGGTGTGATCTCTTATCTTTTACTCCTTAGAAAATCACGGAGTTACTTAGCTTTGAAGAACAACTATTTCTGATAACACTTTTCTCTCCCCCGCTGACAGTGTTGTTAACACATTTAGACAGCTTTCTGACAGTCGCTTTCCATGTGACATCCTGGAGAAA